GCGCACAGATGAAAGTGGTAGTTCACTATTAACTAATCAATAACTACTATTTTTTTAATGCTTCCCAGAGAACTACTGAAAAAGTTTATTAACAATTTAGTAACTACTATTAACTAAAAAGAAACTCTGATTAATTAACTAGTAAGTAATAGCGCACAGATGAAAGTGGTACTTGATACTTCTATGGGAATTACTAATTATTTGGATCCGTATTCTTAAGTGAAGATCATGGGATCTAACTAGTAATGACTCAAGTGTGACTACATGATCTAGTCATGATTTGTGCAACCAAACACAAAAGTCATTTCAAGCGTTTGAGATTTTTGGTGAACTTTAGTAGAACTTTAGTATACTTTTAGAAAATTTCTTTAGAAGTTTAGTCATTACTAGTTAGTTCCAACACAGTCTCATGAAAGTGCGTATCTATACCACGAATGTCATTTCTCGTGCCATTTATACGGCAAAAATGGTTTTTGCGTGCATATGCTACGCACTGAAAACCCCTTGGGTAGGTTTAGGGGGAGGGGGGTGTTGAGTGCGTGCGTATTACACGCCATAAAGTGCGTATCATATGCACACGAAAACTGCGTATCCTATAGACGCAAAAACTATTTTTGGCGTATAAATGACACGAGAAATAACATTCGTTGTATAGATACGCACTTTCATGAGATCGGGCTGTTTAGTTCCCATGATCTTCACTTTAGAATACGGATCCAAATAATTAGTAATTCCCATAGAACTATGTAGCAACACTTGAGTCATTACTAGTTATTTCCCATGATTCTTACAGTAGTTACTAATGAAAAGCCAATAAAGTGTAGAATCTTCTCACTCACAAGATATGCACTCACACACACACACACACATATATGAGCTAGGAGACATACATAAAAACATATTTTTTGGGGAGGTAGGTTAAATAATAAAATCACTGTATATGGTATTTGGATGGCTGATAACTCAATATGTTCCAGTACTCACCGTGACTCTAGTGATTCAATGCCAGTCCAGAGGAATGCCAGAAAATTGGCCACAGGACAAGTAAGGACCCGACAACTGCATTTAAAAATCCATTTCTTTAAAATTATTCAGTTGATAAATAGACAGCATACGCCAATTATTAACAGCTTTCCCAAATCATAAGTCTGCTATGCTATTACATATTGATAATGTAAACAACCTTGTGTATTGTTTACAGTAGCGGTTAAAATGTTAATGTACCGGTAGTGCTAGTCATTTGTCCTGCATTGGTTATTGATTAGTTTTGCATGAATTATGAAAATTTTCAGTTGTTCTCTGGGAAGCATTAAAAAAAATTGTAGTTATTGATTAGTTAATAGTGAAATACCACTTTCATCTGTGCGCTATTACTAATTCGTTAATCAGTGTTTCTTTTTAGTTAATAGTAGGGATGGCCCGATACCGATACTGGCATCGGGGATCGGGCCGATACTGTCCTAATATACTCGTACTCATACTCATAAAAATTCGCCGATACCACGCACCGATACCACGTACATTTTGCAAAACGAAACTGGCCGCCGCGAGTGCTTTGTCGAGGTGAACTGAGGCATAGGAAAGTATAATGTCGGCGGTTTGGGCTCATTTCAAGATAAGGGATGATGACAACAGCAAGGCAGACTGTGAGTTATGTTCAGCTAAGGTGTCGAGAGGAGGGAAAGAAAGTACATCGTTTAACACCAGCAATCTAATTAAACATCTGAAGACGCATCATAGATCTGATGGCCGAGCGCGCGCGCGGGCGGTAATGCACTCACTCTGTGTGTGCGGGTTACGGGAGAATAAAACGATTCGCGGGACTCCCGCAAACTAGTAATATCTATAAATAAAACATAAAAACTAATAGATTTTTATTCATCTCTTGCAGAAAAGCAACAAGAACAACTACAACAAAATAGAAACGATTTACAGGCCAGAGTTTCTATTCATAACATGGTTACAGCGTTGAGCGATGTAGCCAATCACAGACATATGTGTTGATTTCTTGAACGCAATGGCCAATCAGAAGCATTTAAGATAGACTCCCCTCACCGCTCAAAACGGACTTTTTTGTTCAGTGCTGAATTCTGTATGCTGGCAAATCCTCTAATTATAACAAACAAAGTGTGGATATTATGAAAGATTGATTGTGCAGTCAGCTTCATTGATAATAACAGAGATGTGTGAGATCGCGATGAACTGTCAGCTTTTAGGATTTATTAAGGGAGCGCACTTTGCGCGCATTCAGTCATGCCAGACCATGCACGCAGTAGCCTGCTTGCTTTTATGTTAAATTAACAGTGGTTTGTGTGTTAATACATTTATTATTTTACTTTTTTTTTTTTTTTTTTGACTTGTTAAAACAAGCAGAGAAGAAAATAAAAAGTCTTCTGACCTGTGTTCTAAAATAGTCGTCTTCTCTTCTGGGAGCCTATTACTTTTGCGGTAGAAATATCGGTATCGGTACTCGGTATCGGCAAGTACACAAATGTAAATACTCGTACTCGTATCGGTTTGAAAAAAAATGGTATCGGGCCATCCCTAGTTAATAGTAGTTACTAGATTGTTAATAAACTTTTCAGTAGTTCTCTGGGAAGCATTAAAAAATAGTAGTTATTGATTGATTAATGTAGCGCTAGTCTCCCGGGAGAAACACTGATTTGAAACGCGCTTGCCTTTGCCTACAGCCGAGGAAAAAGTTTCTGTCTTACTTTATTTATAATAAACATCTTGAGGTTTTCCTTTGCTAAATGTTTATTACATATCTAGACAGAAATCCACATTAGCACTTAGTAACACTTCTTTCCAGGGCCGGCGCCAAGGGCATTCGCGGGCCATGCCCCCCTAAACGAGTTACTGTGCATTTACTAAGCGAGTAAAATGATGCATTTCAACACAAAGGGATTTGTTTGTAACGGATTTGACCAGTGTGTCTTACACTGTGGGAAAGTTCTGGTGAAAGTATCAAGGACCTGTTTAGTGTTGATGCAGGAGGAGCCAAAGAAGTTCTCACGTCACCCGATGAAGGATTGTTGCAATTAAAGTCATTTGATTTGAAGCTTGGTTTTCAATCTAGGGGATTTGTGCAGTTTGGCCCAGTTGCCAAACACCAGAAGGTTGGCCATTTTCAATCTGACGATGCTTGCTACAACTTACACATGTGAGGTCAAGCTTGTTGTATATGAATGTAACAAAAAAATATGTTACAATAAAAAAGAGTTCCTCTGTTTTAAGTCAACACCTGCATCAGTGCTTGCGAATCACTTCTTATGAGTCCTTATTGCTCTTTCAAGATCAAATATGTGTAAGTTTAGTCATTAAAAAGAGAAAACTGGTTACTGGATGTGAATGCCTTTGCTTTGTGGAAGTGAGATTAAGTAAATCATGGTTTTCTATGTACAAGTTTATTAGCATGCACTGTAAAAAATAATCCTGTAAAAAAAACGGTAAACTACTGGCAGCTGTGGTTGCCAGCATCATACCGTAACTATACGGTGTGTTACTGTTTTTGTGTTAGAGCATAAAGCTGTTAAAGTTTTATACTGTAGCTGACAATACGGTATTTAGCTGTTAATTTCAAAAACAGTAACACACCGTATGATGCTGGAAACCACAGCTGCCAGTATAGTTTACCGTTTTTTTACAGGATTATTTTTTAGTGTGTTCTCTCTCTCTCTCTCTCTCTCTCTCTCTCTCTCTCTCTCTCTCTCTCTCTCTCTCTCTCTCTCTCTCACTTACACACACACACACATACACTGTATATATTAGAGTTTTTAAACTCTACATCACTGGTTTGCTTCAAAATTATGACATTAGGCTACTGTTACTCAAACATGACATCATCTTTTATAGGTATGGGTAGAGGGACATCATTTCATAATTTTATTTTTATGTTATGTTGTAATATTATATAAGGCACTAGTTTAGAATAAGACATTTTATTTAAATTCAGTACTCTCCTTTGCAAACACGTGCTTGTTTCATTTGGCCTGTGATGCGAAAGCAAACATTCTCCAGAGTTAATGCAAATCTGTTGAGGAATGTGATAAACGCTGAAAGCCCTTTGTTTGTGTGCTGCAAAAAGCCTTGGTGATCTCTGAGGTTGCAAAACTTGGGAAATAAAATAAGCAGCACTAGCTTTTATGAGACATGCATGAGGCAAGGAAAAGAAAATCAAGATATAAAAGAAAAATATGCTCTTGGAGGAAGCAATGTTTAAAGTTAATGGGGACTTTACATCAATATTTTATTGCAATCAGTTGTCAAATCACACCACATTAAGACGGACAGTTTGCACACTTGTGCTACAGTACACTATGAGATACATCATGTTTAAAACATCAGCTTTTGCCGCTAGACTCATTTATTGTGAGTCTTGTTTTCCCAGCGGACTGGGAAAACAATGTGTTGGTTGTTCTGCCATAATATGGCTTACACACTCTCTCCTAAAGAATGGCTGTTTGAGGACAAAAACACGTGTTAGGGTTTTGTTTGAAGGATATTTATTAGGGTTATTTTGTAAGGCTATCTAAACATGTATCTAAACACTTTTTTTCATGCAATCCATTTTTATTATGCCCTTCCAAAAAAAAAAAAAAAAAAAGTTTGAAAAAAGAACTAAAACCCAGTGAGGCAATACTCCATACCTCAGATAGACTTGTTATAAAAAACCTTTATGTAGAATGTCCTTTTTATGTTTTATAATGGGCTAATGTTTTATTATTAGCCGAATCAAGTCTTTGTTGGAGGGCTTTGTCAGCTGACTTTAGCTTATTTATGTTTCTGACGTTTTACAATCACGTTTTGTCTACCTTGATTGCATCACAGCTTTTAGCTGCGTGAAAACCTCAAATCAGGGCAAGCAAATCCTATTTGAAGAATGGCTTTTGTAGCTTGCATCTCAGGATCTTTGTACAATGGGATTGTTGTTTAGCAAATAACTGCCATTGGCTGTGACGGGGTCAAAGTTAGTCTGCGCAAAAACTGTGTAAGAGGATAAAGTATAAAACCTATAAACTCAGGGCTCCGCTGACAAACCAACAAGAACAAGCTGTGTCTCAGACATTCACTGTCCCAGCAGCAATCATGGTTAGCCGGTAAGTGACATTTTTGTTTTGTGGTTTTGATAGTTTAACATACCTGAGATATCTGGATGAACAGTTTGTTTTGGATTTATATTACTTTATGTCATTGGAAAATATGTTTGTAGTTATTTTTTGTAAATGGTTAAAATCTGTGCATTGATTCTCTTAAATTTGCCATCCTTTGTATTTAATAATTTTAATTTAAATCTATAAATATTATTTTCAGTTTTGAACACCCTGCTGGAGGCTATAAGAAAATCTTTGAGACCGTGGAGGAGCTGAATGAACCTCTTCCAGCAACAGTCACTGGTATTTCCTTCAGTCTTCAATCTTCACAAATCTTTGACTTATTTATTGATTGGTAAAAATTTGTAAAAAAAAAAAAATTGAGTGATTATATTCCACTACATGAATTACTCCAATAAAAAACTTAAGGAGAAAAAGATTTGCTTGTTTGACCTGCCAAAGACCCTCGCTGCGTTTGTAATCACATACACATACAGCAGCTCTGTATATTCCTTAGGCATCACTGTCGAAGAGTAATTAGCTGGTGAAGTGGATTTACTTATTGTAGAGTTAACGAAAGTTATCATGCGCATTGTAATGTTTTAAGCGGACTTCATTACAAAGGCCAGTAGACGATTTTAAAACGAGCGGCCGATAAATCCGTAAGATCTTACCTTCATGCTGTGGAAATATAGACAGCGAGCACTGTGCTGAAAATGGGCAGAAGTACAGAAGGTCTATAGTATGCGAAAAACAGTATCCCAAAAGAGTAGTATGTCTGAATACATAGGCTGCGTCCAAAATGACATACTGTCTTGAGTAGGTACTTATTTTAAATAATTACTTTGTGACCTCTAAAAAAAGTGTGTTCTGTATAGTATGAATGTGTGTAGTATGAATGTAATCCAGACGTACTGCATTCGCCATGTTGTCATTATCACGTGACCTACCAGCGTCAGTTGCATCGCTTCGCTGCCATTCATAAATCCTCTCCTGTGGCCTCATGGGATAGTAAAGTGTCCATCGTTCACACACTTCAGAATCTCACCGGAAGTAGTAGGTCATCCGGGTACTCTTTTATGTGTACTGTGAATTCAGACATACTTCTTTTGTCACATACTGTTTATTAGTGATGTAGTACTCGAGTCCGGTCTCGTCTCAAGACCGATTTCTGCTTTCTCGGACTCGTCTCGGACTTGTTCCTTCAAAGACTCGGTCTCGACTCGGACTCGACCCTTCAAAGACTCGGTCTTGACTCAGACTCGGCATAGGCGGTCTCGTCCCCATCACTAGTTAAGACTGCTCCTCTAAACAATTCCCAATCTAGCTTAGTCTGTAGCCCTAACTGTTGATTATTAACTGGGGTGATCATGAATATCAATCATGAATATCAAAACTGACATGTCGAGACAAAATCTCGACTCGGACTTGCTTCCTCAAAGACTCGGTCTTGACTCGGACTCGACTGTATTTGAAAACCAACGGACTCGGTCTCGACTCGGACTCGACCCTTCAAAGACTCGGTCTTGACTCGGACTCGGACTCGGCGGTCTCCCCATCACTACTGTTTATCGCCTACTATATAGTAGGGAGGTATGCGATTTCAGATGCAGTATTAAAAAAACAGTAGGCGAAAAGTTCACGGATGACCTCCTACTTCTGGCGAGATTCTGAAGTGTGCATTCGATAGATACTTTACTATCCCATGAGGGGATTTATGAATGGAAGTGAAGCGATGCAACTGGGTCATGTGACAGTAACAACATGGTGGATGTAGTACATCCGAATTCCATTCATACTACATATTATATAGAACATACTTTTTTAACGGGTGTGAAGTAAATTCAAATTCAAATGTAGTACCTACTCAGACAGTACGAACAATTCATGCATTAAGGGTCAGGAAACAACTTGAGTTGCATTTGAACTCGAGTTGCTCACATGAGCAACATACTATGTGCTAACCACCATTTTCTAGTGTATAGTTCTGAGAAGAATAAAACAAGAAGGCTTGTGAATAATGTGCATTTTTTTAGGGCGCATCCCCTCGTTTATAAAAGGGAGTCTGCTCCGTCTGGGTCCCGGTTTGTTTGAGGCTGGATCTGAGCCCTTCTACCATCTTTTTGATGGCCAGGCCCTCATGCACAAGTTTGATTTCAGCAATGGACAGGTCACATATTTCCGCAAGTATGTCAAATGATCTTTTTGTTTTCTCTGTTTAAAGGAAAATAATACAAAACCTATTGACCATGGTGTTTTGTTTTCCCAGGTTTGTCAAAACGGACGCTTACGTGCGTGCTATGACAGAGAAACGTGTGGTCATTACTGAGTTCGGCACCTGCGCCTATCCAGATCCCTGCAAGAATATCTTCTCCAGGTCTGACTGGACTTTAGGCTCGTTCACACCAACGATAACAATATAGTTTTAAAAAAATCTAAATATAAAAGAATAGCAGAGTCCCCAGCACAACTATAACATTAACGACAGAGAAGAGATATCATTGGAATCACTTTCAGAACGATTTTTGAACGATACAAACATTGACAGCCAATCAGAATCCATCCTGCTTGAACGAGCTCAAGCATTTAAAGAGACAGACAACAAAACTGCAGCATGCGCTTAAAATAAACAGAACGATATCGTCTGCTGGTGTGGGCGCAATATAGTTATGGTTATAGTTATCGTTCTTGGTGTGAACAGGCCTTTAGACAAACTGTTGTAGTTCAACGAACTGAAAGCTTTAGCATGCATGGCATAATGCTTATGGGTTTGGTGCATTTTTTACATTTTGTCATTTTTTTGACAGGTTCTTCTCGTATTTCAAAGGTGTTGAGGTGACAGACAACTGCCTGGTGAACGTCTACCCTATCGGAGAGGATTATTATGCTGTCACAGAGACTAATTATATCACCAAAGTAAATGTGGACACCTTGGAAACCTTGAAAAAGGTAATGCAAAGATTTCTTGTATATTGATTTGAATGTTTTGTAGTCCTGAATAGCTTTCCAGCATCTTAAGAAATATAACTTAATCATTCCAAAAGGTTGACATGTGTGATTACGTCAACATAAATGGAGTAACAGCCCATCCCCACATTGAGAAAGATGGTACAGTGTACAACATTGGGAACTGCATGGGGAAGGGAGCCTCACTGGCCTACAATATTGTCCGAATCCCACCTAAACAAAAAGGTAAGCGGTCTTACAATCATTGAGAATCATTTAAAGAAGTTGGTTAAACGATGACTAATGCTCACTAAACTCATTTGGTTAAATGCTAACAAAATCTTTCAGACAAATCTGACCCCATTGAAAAATCCAAGGTGGTTGTGCAGTTCCCAAGTGCTGAAAGGTTCAAGCCATCCTACGTGCACAGGTAATAGTCAATCGATTAATCATCAAATTGATGATGCCTCCAAAAGCACATGAGAAAATAAATACAAATACTTAGAATCAATGTTTCATTTAACTCTAATTTATTACAGGTAATAACAATGATGAAATTAAAAATAGCTACAGTACTTTGGCCAAAGAAACTTTATTGTGTAGATCACTAATAAAAAAGGATCATGTAGTCAGCTCACCGTAAATTAAACCTGATATATCTTCATTTGAAACTATTTCCATTGTTGGTGAAACAATGTTGGCAATATATGGCCGGTTTCACAGACAAGGTTTAATAGGCTTAGTTTAAAATGCATGTTTGAGCTGTTTTAACTGAAAGCATATCTTAAAATATGTCAGTGCCATTGTTTTGTCACATGATGCACACCAGAAATGTTTTTTTCTAAGGCATGTTTAAAAACATCTACTTAAATGTCCTAATTTAACTAAGGCATAATCCTGGCTTAATCTAAACCCTGTATGTGAAACCAGACCATAGTGTCTAAAATGTAAGTTCCTCAATATTAACTCCTTGTTTATGGAAGGTCTGACTCTGGATATCAGCATGGCTTGTGTTATATGCTCAAAAATGCAGTACAGGGGTCAATGACATGATGCTCATGTGTTTGTCATATTCATTTATTCAAAAGCTCATTGAAATGCAATTCATTTAATGAATTATATTGCAATTCAAAAGTTCCAAATTAAAATTTATTCTGATATTTTTTGGGGAAATAAAGTTAAATTAAAAAAATGTCAGGGTGGTGCAACTGTCCTGATATCATAATGGATAGAGACTCGTTAAATGAATGAAAGTCTTGAAAAGAAAACCTACTTAAACATAGTTTGGCAAGACCTTTCATTATTATTTCTTAGAATTTTTTTTAATTAATTTTTTTAACTTCACTGCTTATTTAATATCTGAAAAACATTTTTCAATCAAATCGAAGACTTGTGGTACAACCAACATGCAAAAAACTAACAACAACAACAAAACCTGTCAAGGTCAGTAAGTCTCACCAGATAATTTGACAATTTTGTAACAAGTCAAGGTTAGTTCAGGTTGAAAATGTCATGTGGTTCAACTGCCCAAAAAGGCAACGAATATGCCTATATATACAGTATTTTTAAAAAAACATTTGACAAAAATTATTAGATGTGTACACTCCTATGCATTAAAGGTGTTTTTATGTTTTAAGTGTGCTTATACCACATGACATTTGAGTCATTAAATTTAAAGTTTTGTCGCAAATGGTATAAAAAGCCGCCTTTCCACCGTCGGGCCGAACGGTTCTAAGAACGGTAAGGAACAGTTCCATATAATAAATAACACCCATTTTCCCTATATGTTTTTCCCTTACTAGTTTTGGGATGACCGAGAACTACTTTGTCTTTGTTGAAACACCAGTCAAAATCAACCTATTGAAATTCCTGAGCGCCTGGAGTATTCGAGGATCCAACTATATGGACTGCTTTGAATCTGATGAGGAGAAAGGCGTATGTTCTTGTTTATTTATCACTTAAGGATAATATACGAGTTAAATGACATGACAGAACTTTAGGAGGCTTTGAGTCTTTTCCTTAGATCTGTTGTGTCCATTCATACAGACGTGGATACACATTGCAAGGAAGCATCCAGGGGAATACATTGACTATAAATTCAGAACCTCTGCAATGGGTCTTTTCCATCACATCAACTGCTACGAGGACTCAGGGTTCATTGTTTTTGACCTGTGTGCCTGGAAAGGGTAAGTAAAACAGAATTATTTACTTGCATGAAAGTTTTAAAGCCATTCACCACCACTTTAATTTATGATTATTTTAGTAGGAACATTTATTGGATGTATGCGCATTTATTTTTATTCATCATCACTATTGTGTATAGTCATGTATAACAACAACTGGTTTCAGGTAAGATAAGGTATTATTTTTTTTCCTCTTTAGCTTTGAATTTGTCTACAACTATCTGTGGCTGGCAAACCTCCGTGCCAACTGGGACGAAGTTAAAAGAAATGCCATGATTGCCCCTCAGCCAGAAGTGAGGCGATACGTCATTCCTCTGGATCCCTACAAGGTAAAAAAAAAAAAAAAAAAAAAAAACTTTACAATAAGGTGCCATTTGCTACCATTAGTTAACAAGAACTAATAATTAAAAACACTTCCAAAGCATTTATTAGTCTTAGTTAATAATAATTTCAACATTTACTAATACACTATTAAAATAAATGTTTCTGTTAAAGTGCCCCTATTATGCTATTTGAAAGGTTCCTAATTTGGTTTGGGAGTCTCCTACAACAGGTTTACATGCATCCGAGATCAAAAAACACTTTAATTTTCTCAAAATATACAGTAAATTGCAGCATCAGCTCTTTTCTCAAAGTGTCTTAAGCTGTTAGATAAAGGATCTGGTCTGCGCTGATTGGTCAGATGCCTCAGTCTGTTGTGATTGGTCTACTCTGCTCTGATTGGTCAGATGCCTCAGTCTGTTGTGATTGGTCTACTCTGCCCTGATTGGTCAGATTGCCCAGTCTGTTGTGATTGGTCTATTCTACTCTGATTGGTCAGATTGCCCAGTCTGTTGTGATTGGTCTACTCTGCTCTGATTGGTCAGATTGCCCAGTCTGTTGTGATTGGTCTACTCTGCTCTGATTGGTCAGGTGGCCCAGTCTGTTGTGATTGGTCTACTCTGCTCTGATTGGTCAGGTGGCTCAGTCTGTTGTGATTGGTCTACTCTGCCCTGATTGGTCAGATGGCTCAGTCTGTTGTGATTGGTCTACTCTGCTCTGATTGGTCAGATGACTCAGTTTGTTGTGATTGGTCTACTCTGCTCTGATTGGTCAGATTGCCCAGTCTGTTGTGATTGGTCTATTCTGCTCTGATTGGTCAGATTGCCCAGTCTGTTGTGATTGGTCTTCTCTGCTCTGATTGGTCATATGTCCAGTCTGTTGTGATTGGTCTACTCTGCTCTGATTGGTCAGATGGCTCAATCTGTTGTGATTGGTCTACTCTGCTCTGATTGGTCAGATGGCTCAGTCTGTTGTGATTGGTCTACTCTGCTCTGATTGGTCAGATTGCCCAGTCTGTTGTGATTGGTCTACTCTGCTCTGATTGGTCAGGTGGCTCAGTCTGTTGTGATTGGTCTACTCTGCCCTGATTGGTCAGATGGCTCAGTCTGTTGTGATTGGTCTACTCTGCTCTGATTGGTCAGATGTCCAGTCTGTTGTGATTGGTCTACTCTGCTCTGATTGGTCAGATGGCTCAATCTGTTGTGATGGGTCTACTCTGCTCTGATTGGTCAGATGGCTCAGTCTGTTGTGATTGGTCTACTCTGTTCTGATTGGTCATATGTCCAGTCTGCTGTGATTGGTCTATTCTGCTCTGATTGGTCAGATTGCCCAGTCTGTTGTGATTGGTCTACTCTGCTCTGATTGGTCAGGTGGCTCAGTCTGTTGTGATTGGTCTACTCTGCCCTGATTGGCCAGATGGCTCAGTCTGTTGTGATTGGTCTACTTTGATCTGATTGGTCAGATGTATATCGGAATATTAGCTCCGGAGGCTTCCTCAGCACTTAATACACATACAAACATTAGCAATGGCGTTGTTGTTTGCGGGTAGCCAATGAAGACCATAGGCTGTCATTATGCAAATTTGTTACAATACTGCGTAGATTCGAGCAGGAAGTAAGACTGGAATTACAGGCAAATCGTTTCAGAATAGCTTCTTTCTTTTGGGAGACAAAAACTCATTTTATGTATACTTTGATGTTTGACATTTTTCAACCTTTTATATTCACAAACAGCTATATTATATTACACTACATGAAAGGTAATATTTAAAAAAGCATATATGGGGCACTTTAATATTATTTATTGGACCTGAGCAATGAACAGTTGTATTTTTATTAACCTGTTAACTGTCACCCCCCTTTTTTTGAATAGACATGAAAATGCACATTTCGAACTTAAATGGTTGTAATTCAAGAATGCTTTGGAATATAGACGTAAGATTGGTCTTGTTTTAAAGAAGACATTTGGCAGATTTTTGTAGAAGTGAAATAAATTAAGAAAGTGAAACAGAAAAAAAGTTATAGAAGTTTGAGTTTATGGAAATGTACAATGTAAAAAAATTAATTATTCATATTTTATGTAAAATATATATTTTCAAAACCTGGGCTACTCTAAAACTGCTGAAAAATCAAAGCCAAAAATCTGAACAAGTTGTGTTTCAAATTTTAGGTTGATATCTCAAAAAATGAGCTTTCAGTAAGATTTTGTTTGGGCGCAGTACCAAACTTTTTCACTAGGTCACAACCAGACTCCATTACTGCCCATATAAGGGCGCCTCCATTTCCATATGTGTTTTGAGTGATATGAACCATTATTTCCACAATTTTCATACAATTTATGAAGTAGAAATCTTATTCAGAAGTAGTATGGGAAGTTTGGCAGATTTTGATATGAATTCAACCTCTAAGAAACACATACAAAAAACATGCATGTGCATCATAGCTCGCTGTCACATCACAAATGGTGAATTTATAATTTTTGTCTTTATAGTTCAAACATTTTCAGAACTTTTTTTCTAAAATAATTGAATGGATGCTATCTTTTGAACTCTTGGCATGAAAACAAACTGAGGTTTCTACCATTTTTTCATGATTTTTCATGTTCATTACGATTTCAAAATAAAGGTCTGAACACGCCTTAGGAGTATGAAAATATTCTTGTTACAAATTGATAAATTATGGCTCCTCTGTAATTTATTTTGAAAATCAGTCACCAAATATGGAAACTGGAGATTGTAAGCTTTCAAATGATATATAGTTTGTCAATATTACTTAAGGTTTTTACTAAGATATTATTGCTTTAAAAATATAATGGCAAACGTCCCACCTGTGGGACGGTGACAGCTAACGTTAATAGGACCTTATTGTAAAGTGTTAACAAGCCACATAGGATTAATATTTGTGTGAGAAAAATACTGATCCTTCAGGATTGATGACCCTTTAACACTGATTTCTTATAGGAGGAGCAGGGCAAAAATCTGATCTCTCTGCCGTACACCACAGCCACAGCCACAATGCGTGTTGATGGGACCATTTGGCTTGAGCCTGAGGTGCTTTTCTCTGGTCCACGACAAGGTACGACAAACTTAATTTATAGTTGTTATGCCAACTTTTGCTTCCTTTTTGTTTAAGGTACAACTTAATTTCTCAAATAACATATATTTTTTTTCCTGAAAGCTTATTAACATGCTGGACATAAAAAAATTGAGGTAAAGTTTTGACATGTTTTATCATGTGTTTGAATCTCAAAGCTTTCGAGTTTCCCCAGATCAACTACAAAATGAACAACGCAAAGAATTACACCTATGCCTATGGACTGGGCCTCAACCACTTTGTCCCTGACAGGGTATGAATAATCATACATCATCTGTTCAGTGTTTTATAACAAGTGTTGAAGAATGTGCTTTTTTAGGCTGTCTTTGATGATTCATAGATTTGCAAGCTGAATGTGAGGACTAAGGAGACCTGGGTATGGCAGGAGCCAGACGCATACCCTTCAGAGCCGCTCTTTGTGCAAAACCCCGATGCGGTGGATGAGGATGATGGTGAGTGAGACATGCCATATTGACAATATTATATCTTGTCAAGTGTGTATTTTTTAATGCTTTGATGCTTAACAGGTATCCTAATGACAATTGTGGTGGCGCCTGGAGCCCAGAGACCAACATATTGCCTGATCTTGAATGCCAAGGACCTGTCTGAGATTGCAAGGGCGGAAGTTGAAATCATCACTCCGGTCACTTTCCATGGAATGTATAAGCCATAGAGTGGTTGGTCCCACTGAGCACAGTGCTGATAAAGTTACTGTAAAAAACATGATATTGTAAACAATAAAACTATGATATTGCATATTTATGATTTGCTTGAAATCTGTTCTTTGCAAATGCACAAAAAACTTTTTTTTTAACTCATCCAGTAGTGTTAATGCAGTTAATTAATAATATTGCTGTAAATTAAGGTTCCCCAAATAAGCAAACCAAAGAGGACAGTGGTAAGGAACCCAAACCCCATCAGAATTGGAGAAAGAAAAAAACCCTGATGCAGTGGATGAGATATTTTGTGTAAAATATCTCTTGATATTATAGTTCAAGAACTGAACTGAGCCTATTGTCCTCTGTTTTATAGCTGAATCTTTTTTTCTTCAAAACGGATAAAGTTTGCAGCATCGACTCTGTTATTGAAATGAATTGAATCAACATTTAACTGACTCAAAATAAAAACGACACTACTGTCTTCTGTATAGCTTGTAACGCTTTAACCAGCTTGCCTGAATGGTTGTAGCCAAGTGTAAGCAGAGACTCGCGTAACTGATATTCCACAGTAGTTATTTATTATCAGCGTCGTCAATCCCCCACACACGGGCCAGTTTGCAAAACACTCCACTAACAACTGCGTTACTGAATAGAAATAAAACAGGATAAGAGCAACAGGAATATAAAAGGGACTTTGCACTGCACGCATACATGCGATGTTCACAGCTCGAACTCCTCATACCGACTGCCCACTCATTAGTGAGGGAGTAACAGAGTGCGTTCCACCTTAAAGGCGCAGTGCCTAATTCCACTTGTTACAAGATGCTTATAGCTGAACTGAACTTCTTTCATAATGAATGCACTTTAGACCGTCATTGAACTGAACTGAACTGAGCTGAATAATGAAACTATTATGAGAATTTGTATGTATATATATATATATATATATATATATATATATATGTATAAAGTCGCTGTTTGGATTTAAATAGGCAAATGCTTAATATGATTGGATCATTATTGCAGTGATTATTATGTTTCTAGCATGTTATATTTTTGGCAACATTTCTTCTTAACCTAATTGATGGAGTGTGTAGCTTTTCATTTCTTGAACAACCATGTAGGAAGACACATCATGGCCCTATTCCAGGATGACAATGTTAAGATTAATCAGGCTCAAATTGTAAAATAAATGTTGTGGTATTATTTCCATCAATAGGTGCATCAATGTTTCGTCAAGATCTTGTATTGACAATGCAAGAGTCCAGCACTCTGTAAAGTCTCCTCCAGCACATCCAGGGGCGTAGCAACCGGGGGGGACGGGGGACACACGTCCCCCGCACTTTTAGAAACAGGTGATTCTGTCCCCCACATTTTTGTTTTTTCCCAGCGCCAATATTTCCGCCCGTGTTCTCTGATTTGTTACTTAGACTTGAGTGAACTAACATTCAGCCAATCTCAGCGTGAATCATCTCTTGGGCGTGTCTGCCATGAGCTTCAAATCTCTTGTTTCGAATTTTCATTCGTTAGTCACACAAGTCACTTTGCTGTTTGGCCGTCTGGGATAAAATGCACCCCAGAAAAAAGCAGAGGACGATTATATCCTTTTTTCAAACACACACTGTAAGTATAATGTGTTACAGTGTGTTGCGATGACATGAATCACGCGTAAAGTTTCCTTGTTATGATTTTACCAACTGTAACGCAGTAAGAGAACCCATATGGACCTCGTCACGTCGCTCCGGATTGTGCCGACGAGTGTGTGACTTGTCGCTTTGGATAAAAGCGTATGTTAAATGAGACAACAGATTATTCCCAGCAGGCACACAACGTCATTAGACGTTGATATTTGGTTAAATTTCGGTTGCGACGTCGGGTGACCAAAATTCTATATAAATTCATCTAATGTCAATGTTTAATTGATGTCCAATGCCGACGTCAGCTGACGTTGAGATTTTGTTGTTTTTGCGTAGCCAAAATCCAACATTGTCAAATTGACTTGACTTCAACCCGATTTTCATTTTCAACCAAAATGCAATGTCTTTCCGACGTCATGTCCAACGTCAATCTAACGTTATAGACGTCGGGTACCTGCTGGGTTGGGCTCTGCTGTCTTTGTGCTGCTCGCATCCTTTCACAATAAATCAAATTTGGGTAACACTTTAGAATACTGTTTCTTACTTACTGCATAACCAATAAGGAATTACTGAAGAACTAATAGGTAATTCTTTACCTATTACCTATACCTATTACCTGTTCTTTACCTTTACCTATTCTTTAGCACTTAAGTCACTACTGTTAACTACTAAGGAAGATGTGTTAACTAATCAGTATGTAATAGAATTATATGATTGTGTTAAGTATCAGTTAGTAAATCAATAACTACTTAATTCTGTCATACCTCCGGAAGAGCTACTATTAATTATGGTTCAAGAAAAATAACTATGAAGTAACTACTAATGAACAGTCTTTGTATTTGTGTACTTCACATTTGTGAAGTACACAAATACACAGCAGTTACTACAATAATCTATTTTATCAGTGGAGTGGTGGATGAAGTACACAAATCAAGTACTTGAGTAAAAGTACAGATACCACAATAAAATATTACTCTAGTAAAATTATAATTAGGCCTATTCATTTTCAAAATGACCTTAGTAAAAGTACAAAGGTAATTAATTTTTAAAGTACTTGAAAAGTAAAAAGCACTGATTTTTTTCTAGCCAGTTTCAGTCATTCTTCAGCCCTAATAAGGTAGATAAGAGCAGACATTTACCTATAGGATATATTGATATGCAAATAACTTTTTATTTCTTTAGCAAAACTTAAAATAATGTACATTACATCAATAGTGGTTTTTTTTTACAGTAAGTCTGAGTTGAGTCAGAAGTGGTAATTCTTTATTAATTAAGGGGTTCCCTATATTTTCACTTTAGAATACTGTTTCAGGTTCTAAGTCATTCCTGGAAAATTATCTAATAATTCTTTATTAATTACTAATAGGTTCCCTATATTTTCAGTTTCCCTCAGTTGTTGCCTCAAATACATGAATTTACTCAATGGCATGAATAAATGCTGAGGAAAACAGACACACAGTACTGTATATAAAATATAAAACTAATCTGAGGTTAGTTATGCCAAAGCACTTGTGTGGGGTTCCTTTCTGAAATTGATTTCTTACAGAACACACTCACAAAACCACACAGGCAAACATTTAACTTCAACATTATATTTATTTGTTAAAATTACTACTTCTATTAATAACATTAGTGAATAAGAAAGGTCACAACTCAATGTAGATTTGGATGACTGTTCATTAGTTACTTCTTAGTTATTTTTCTTGAACCTTAATTAGTAGATAATTTGTAGTAGTTCTTGACAGAATTCATTAGTTATTGATTTACTAACTGTTTCTTAACAGAGTCACAAAATTCTATTACATACTGATTAGTTAACGCATCTTCCTTAGTAGTTAACAGTAGTGAAGAAGTAGTTAATGAAGAATTACCTATTAGTTCTTCAATAATTCTCTATTAGGTATGCAGTAAGTAAGAAACAGTATTCTAAAGTGTTACCAAATTTGTTTTGCGCCGAATATCTTATCATACTTTATCAAATTTTAGTCTTTTAATTTATTACTGCTATGTCCTAGCTGGTCTGTAGGAAAGGCAGGCTGTGACGTCACTGACAGAGAGAGGGGAGGACAGTTGCTCGACCCCTCCAGAATGTGTACAGGTGAGATTTATAAAAACAAAGAGGATTGAAAATTTTAAGGCAGTGTTTTCCTAATTGGGACTACTTGCCACTATTTTAGGGAATTACACATCAATTTAATTCCATTATTTTTTTTTATGTTCAAACTGTTAGTTAAACTAAACTAAATAAAATTAGTTCTATGTATAAAGGCAGTGTGTTCTAATAGTGTTAAGTCCTGTATTAGGCTATTTATGGGTTGCTAAATCTAAATGAAAAACTTGTGAAGTTGTGTTTAACTGTGGAAATGGCAAATGAATCAATAAGTTAGTGATCCACCTCCCCCTATATGCTGTTTATATCGTTTTTTAGGATGTTTGTGAGGAAGTGTCAGTCATGTGTGAGGAAGGGAAGGAAAGAGAGGAAGAGAGAGAGGGAGATGAGGGAAAAAGTGAGGAACCATGTGAGAACCGAAGAGAAGAGAGAACTGATTTGATGAACAGGGAAGAATCTGCAGACTCTGACCAACATTTCTCAGCAACAAAACCAAACCACCCTGATCCCAAATTTATCATAAAGCAGACACTGTCAGACCGTGCCCTTTCATTTCAGACACAGTGGTACAGCAAATTTAAATGGCTCCATTTCGATCCAAATGTTGAAGGTGTTTTGTGTTTTTATTGTAGCAAAGCTTTTAAAACACAAGTATCTTCCCTTGCGAAAAATACAGAACCAGCATTTGTTTCAACTGGTTTCAAGAATTGGAAGAAAGCTCTTGAACGATTCAGTTCACATGAAAAATAAGATTGTCACAAGACAGCAGTAACAACATGTGTATATGAAGACAGATCAGTTAAGGTACAGCTGTGTAGTGTTCAGGCATCACAACAAGAGGAGCGAGAGCAAATCTGTTAAAAATCATTGGTGCTGTGCAGCTGTTGGCAAGGCAGGGCTTGGCCCATGATGATAGTCAGGGAAATCTTCATCAGGTGCTGAAATACAAGGCAGAAGAAGATCTGTGTCTCAGAAAGTGGTTGTCAGGCAGAAAGGACTACACTTCTGCTCAAATTCAGAATGAGCTCCTTCGTTTGTCGAGCAATTCTATCATCAGAGATATCGCAGACAATATAAGATCACTCCCTCAGTTGCAGTTTTCTGTAATGATGGACGGAACGCAAGATGTTTCAGGCAAAGAGCAAGAAGCAATTTGTCTCTGTTATGTAGATAACGATTTGATGATTCATGAAGAGTTTATTGGCCTTTATGAGGTATCTGTGGGGACAGGAGAGAATCTTGCAAAGGTTGTGAAAGATGTGTTGGTTCGTTTAAATTTGCCCATTTCTGGATATTACGAGGGCAGGCATATGATGGTGCAGCAAATATGGCTGGCAGGTATTCTGGAGCACAGGCCATCATTAAAAAGGAACAACCTCTTGCCCCATACATCCACAGTGGTGCCCATTGTGTAAATCTCATTCCACAGCATGCTTGTACTGCCTCACGTGTTGTCCACAGTGCTTTACAGTGGGTTCATGAGTTAGGAATTTTGTTTGGGCAGTCAAGTAAATTTAAAACTTTGTTCAAGGAAGTTGCAAAATCTGTTCAAGGGTCCTTTCAAACTATAAGGCCCCTTTGTCCCACAAGATGGACAGTTCGCTCCAGTGCTATTCATGCAGCGCTGAATCAGTATGAGTCTGTAATGCTTGCTCTGAATGAAATGGCAGCGGGCAGCTCAGACACGGCTAACAGGGCAAATGGACTACATGACAGATTCCAGCAGGGAAATGTAGTTCTTGGTCTTCTGCTTGCCTTAGAGGCTATAGAAGAATTGGAGAATCTCAACACATCTCTCCAAAGTCGAACACAGACCATTAATGGTATGCTTTCTGCTGTTGCTTATGTGAGGGATGCTGTTGCAAATAAAAGAAATTCAGAGAGGTTTCAAATTGTCTACACCAAAGCATCAGAAGCTGAGAGAAGTTGCAGTGGTCTCAGGAGGCTAAAAACATGACTTCGTAGTACCATGACACAAACACGGCTGAATAGTGTTGCTGTGTGTCATATACACAAGGAAAAACTTGATCAATTATCAAGAAAAAGGATTGCTCAACAATTTGTGGCCTGCAAGGAAAGCCGAAAAATTCAGTTCGGAAGTTTTGATTAAAAATCTCACTTCAATTGTGATAATATTAAAATATTGTAAATACATTGATTTAGGCTTTATTTATATATTTTTATAAAATGTATGTTGTATAAAATTACTGTAGATGTAATATGTATACTCATAGAACACTTTTTTTGTCCAACTGTTATGAATTGAGATAAAAGTTATTGTTCAAGTGTAGTGTTATACACTTATTGTAAATATCATAAAATATTCATAAAAATAAAGTATAGATGTTAAGTGGTCTGAAAGTCCCAAGTACTGCAGTGTTTTTTTTTTTTGAGTATTTCACAAAAACAGGTTGCTGTAAGCTATCATGGCATGTTCCCAAAATTGCCACTAGGGTGCTGTAAAATGGCAGTTGCTATAGACCTTATGCACCAGAGAAACAAGGGTGCCGCCATCTTTAGAATATTGTCTTTGAACTTCCGTTTTTGCGGTCGCTCTGTATCTATGGCATTGCTGTCCATGAGTAATTAGCTTTTGAAGTGGATTTGCTTAATGTAAAGTTAACTAAAGTTATCATGAGGATTGTAATGTTTAAAGCAGATGTCTTAACAAATGTCAGTCGACCGGGAAGATTTTAAAACGAGCCGTTCATTCATAAATATGCAAGATCGCTACAGACCGGAAGACAAAAGACAACGAGCGCAGCGCTGAAAAGGGGCGGGGCTACATAAGGTCTATTCTATCGAGAATTTATTATTATGAACATCACCTTTGGGTCACATCACCATACAGCTTTTGTCCCCCGCACTTTTATAATGGCTGCTACGCCCCTGAGCACATCCCAAAGACTTTGAATGAATTTAAGGTCTGGACTCAGAGGTGTTAGTTCATGTGTGTAAACGATTCTTAATCTACTTATGTACAGGATGAAATTAGATTCAATTATTAACTTATGCCATTTAGCTGCTTAACTAGCAAATAAAAAATCACTTGGAGCTGTAAATCTGCAATAGGCATAAAATAAAATCTGGATAAAAATATTCAGCAGAGAAGTGATGTGAACGTTTATTGCTAAAATACAATACAATACAATAAAATACAATAAAACAATAACAAAAAAAATGCAGCATTCAAAATAAATGCGTATACTCTGCTGTTTTATAAACCAATATAATTGGTTGTAATGTGTCACCCCACCCCATCGTCAAGGCTCCACTCTGTTGACTCGCCATCCTTAGCTCCGGCTTGTTTTGTGGGGAATATATTCTCACCTGTGCTGTTGTCTTCATTCCCCTGTTAGCCTGATCAGAAACACACTTTTAAATCCCTCAAGAGATGTGTTTTTTTTTAGGTGATTTATCTTCTAGACCTAGATATTGTCCACACTGTCTGAAAGAATTTCAAATTCTGTGTGCAAAATGTATATATAATTCAAAATGAAAATGAGGATACAGTATTTCTTATTACTCCGGTTTTCATAAGTTATACATTTTCCAAGCTTGTAATGTGATCAATTTTGCAACAGCTAGTCACATTTAATTTATATTATGACATGTAAACAGACATTTAGTGCCATAACACACTTTTCTTTCAGTTAGTATTTTTAAAAATCAGTTAATTCAGTAGGAAACCATCCATCTGTCTTCTATACTTGCTTTGTCCTCTGTAGGGAATCAAGTGTACACACGCACCATGGATGAAGTCAGAAGACGTTAGACAGTATGTCACTTGCATCTATAAAATGGTGCCTGAATACAGCATGGCAACACGATGCAGCATCTCGTTCCCACCTCAGGGAACCGGGTTACATTAGTAACCCTGAGACGTTCCCTATCGAGGGAACACTGGGTCATTGCGTTGATGCTTTAGGAACATTATAACCGACACCGCCATACTGAGATCTGGGAGAAAGTGTCTCAATTCCAACACAGTCCCCATTTCCGACACTGATCTACACACAACAGCAAATGCGGATATCATTATAGAGGACCCCATAGAAGGCAGGTCCTTGTCCAGACCGGAAGAAATCACAAAGCGAGCTTCCAAGTCCAGAACGGGACCCTCTGAGTCTATGGAAAGAGCAAGAGAAAGGCCAGCGCCTGTTTTAGGCTCATCCAGCAGCTCCATCAGCAAACCCTATGATCTGAGTCGCCATGCTGCCTCAACAGACACAGGACCCAAACCATGGGGTGCGTATAGTGTCACTTGACTTCATCTGTGGCCAAAGGGATTGGCATGTGTGCACACGTGATTCAGACAAGACGTTCCCATAGCGTTAACGTAATGACGCAGTGTCGAAGTTCCCTTAAAATGGAAGCTTTTGTTCCTCATCTGTCCATTTACTAAGCATGCCATGGGAAATTCACGTTGAATGGACATAACTCCAAAGTCCAGCAGAGGACGTTTAAAATGTTACATATTTATTATGCTACATATCAGCAGTTAGTATTTGATTATTATTGGCGTTTGAAAAAATAAATAAACAAATAAATAAATAATGTAAACACTACATAACTGTAACTAAACAGAAATTAGAAATGTAACTACAAAAGTGAGACACATGAGGTTGACCGCCAATTTGCAGTCCAAGGTTAGACATTTTCACATTTACAAACACATTTACACTTTTTTTTTTTTTTTTTTTGGACTGGATATAACCATGATAAAGTCAAATGTAAATGCAAATCTGATTTAATTAGATTGATTAAAGCACATGGTGAGTGAAAACTAACAACTGTGTTGCTGCTTTTCAAAATCCCAGGGGTAAAAGCTTGAGGTGTCCGGATCCGAGCCAAATAACATCTCAGCAACACTTTGTTGAACAGAATCAGATGAACTTGAGGATACCATTTTACTGAGCTCAGTACAGAAATAGTCAATTTCAGTAAGGTCAGCCTTTTTAGTGACTTTTCCAGCACAATGTGTAGCCTCTTCAGCTTCTTGGCTTATGTTGGTCACAAATGAGCCAACATCAGTTGTATTAACATCAAAAAAGTTGTTTTTCATTGGGTCAAATGCCTCAGGGTTGGGAAGGCTCATTTCAGAGGTACTCCATTCAAAACCGCTGTGGATTACTTGATTAAAATGACTAGCATTTGACACGATGGAGCTAGGTTTGTATTGTCCAGAAACATCAGATCCATCTCGGATGGGTCCAGTAATTACATTTTCCTCACTACTATAAGCATAGCTCTCCTCATTAGATGGGCAAGAACCAAAGGGGTAACAATCATCAAGTTCGGATCCACTGAGATGATCACTTAGCATTTCACAGGACACAGTATTGATGAAAGACATCTGCTTGTCCTCTGGATTATTTAACTCTGTATAAACTTGTTGAGGACTGAAGAAGTGACACTTTGTAATAATATTACCAGAATCACAGTTTTCTGTTTCTGAGTCAAATATCCCTGTATCAACTGATTCAGGACTGAATGGATCAGGGACATGGATTTCAGAGTTGCTCTGCTTACTGGTTTCCAAACCTTGGCCTTGAAGGTCAATGCTACATTTCCTTTTGAAAGTAGGTTCTGGACTAAAAGGGGCAGGGGTATCAACTTCATGATAACCAGAATCTAGTCTTGGAGCTTCATGAACAACATTCATGAATTCTTCTAATTCAGATACACAATCAACTGGCTCAGCGGGTATGGGACTGAATGGGTCAAAATACTGGAGTTCGAATTTACTCATGGCCAAGGTTTCAGAGCAAGACGGGCTGTGCTGTTGTGAACTACTGGATTCGGGGACGAGTTGCTCACAGACATAAACCTGGTCAGTAGCTGATGCATCTGTCTTACTTTGCAGACAAAAGAGGTCTTGAACTGGAGAATTTGGTGTACTAATATCTTTATCCAGGAATGATGTATCAGGAACATGTTCAGCTGCAGTGAGATTTGCCTTCCATTGGTCATTCCACTCTGAATTAGACAGGCTTTGGCAAGCATCTGAATCCTCAAATGTAAGACATGGAATATGTAAATCCGCCCTCTCAGAATCAGACCCTAATACTTCATTACATTTAGGAGGGTCACTGTTTGTCGTGATCTCCTGCTCCACATTCTCAAAATTGTTCTGGTCATTCTGTTCTGTAATCTGGCTGTGTTGTTCTGTGTCTTCAGGCTTTGGACTGCAACATTCAAATTCATCTATATCATTGAATTCAGGGCTCAAAGCAGGATCCTTCCAAGGCAACTGCTCGTGGGACTCATCTTTCTTTATTTCATTTGGCTCAGGACAAACTGGGCTATGATTAGGTAGTTCAGGGCTACCAGGATCTAGTCTCACAGTGAAAAAGTACATATCTCCATATTTGTAGTCATTCACATCTAAAGCAGAGGGTTGAGGATCACAAATGGAAGGAGAAGTAGAGGCATTACTATTTATATCATGCAACTGTTCACACAGAGGACCTGGACTATGATCGGTGGAGTAACTCTCAGTATTTCCAAGTTCTGAATGAGAACAATCTTTGTCAAATACAGCATTTTGTTCAGAAGAGATATGATGTTCAAAAATCTTCTCAATATCACTTATGCCTGGGAGCGGCTCAGGGTCACACGGACTTAGAGGAAACCCAGTATAGGACCCTGCAATGATTCTCTGTAGACCACACAGTGAGTTAGCTCTTTTAATAAAACTGGATCCATCCTGAACTTCAACTCTGTCCTCCAACTCTTCAGCTTCAGCAAATATACTGGAATCGGCATCAAAAGAATTAAACACTGTAGAACTGTGACTAGAGCCAGATTCATGGACACACTCTTCATTGAACTGAGCTTCTTTTGATAGATCTGGTTGCACAGCATCGTGATTTTGGTCTTGTGTGGCATTTATTTGTACACCAGAATTGGCATCACTGCAAGATTCAAGACTCCTATTTTCAGTGGACATGGACACACAATCAAGCTCTCCAGTGGACTGTTTGAAGTCAGCAACTAGTGGCATGTTGATGGGAGTGTTAAAGGTACCATAGTCTTTTACAGAGGACTGGAGAGGATAGTGTACAGTGTCTAGAAGACTGTTCTCTGCAGTGATGAAGTCATCCTGACAATGCTTTTCCTCTGGCATGTTAACCAGGAGAGTGTCAGAGGCAAAAGGGTCTGTGCCTTTAAACGGGTCCCTTGGTAATTGCTCTGAGAAAAACAGCACCATATTAGTCACTGTCTGAGAATGGATTGACTCTCTTATTCTCTGCAATTAGTGCATTTCTGTGTTGGGAAATAGCTAACTAAAAGTAGCAGTGCAACAAACGTATACCCATTTATCATCAGCTAAATTCTTTTCAAAGCAGTGTAACTTTTACAGTAACAAGCACATTTTTTAAACAAGTATCTGTGATTTCTAAGTTAAATTGTATTGCACATGCAGTTATACAGCAGAGCAAACAAAGGTGATAATCAAACCTGCTCTCATGTACAGTAGATATGCCTGTGCAGAATTTGGGCTTTTCACACTTAAAATCGTTAACCTTGGGTTTTTCTAAAATCTTGGGTTAACGGAATCCTGGGTTATCCTTTTCCACTCACTTCATTCTTTTCCCTGGGATAGTAATTAATCCTGGGAATTCAAGTTTTGCACGGTACATTTGTAAACTGTACGCATGTTTGTAAAATGTAAAATGTAAGTCATCCGTGAGGGACTGCTGCCTGTACTTTCATTTTGTTATTTGTTTATTTATTTATTAAAGTCTTTTGAATGTTCGCCGGTTCCCGCCTCCTTCCCATTACAACATACTATGTTACACTCATCATTTGGGCTCTTATATTTCTGTCTATACCCAGTTTGTAAGTTTTCACCATAAATGTAAGAATCATCACACTTTGGAACAGCAATGTGGAGCTACCCCACAAAAGCAGTGTTAAGGCCCCGATATACTCAAGGCGAAGTTCTTGTTCGTTCCTTGCTTAGGGGTAAAAAAAAAAAAAAAACCTGACCAATGGTAGTACAAAGGTGTTTACCAGCCATAGCGAACTTTTCCGGAAGGTTTGCTTTGGCAAACTGTTTCGAACTCCCAAAACAAACTCCAAACAAAGTTCGTTTTGGCCTGATTTGGTTTAAAATGACGTCACATCAGGTCATTCTTCGATTTTACTTGAAGTATATCAGGGAGCAGGATTTCGTAACGGTTATAACCCTTTTAAAATTAATGTGATTTTTTTTTCTTTCCTAAAAGATAACTCATGGTTAAGTAGTGTGAAAAGCCCCATTATTATCCATTGTAGTGATATATTTGACATAATAAACTTGATTCTGTTACATAGATTACATTGTTACTCTTTTTTTTATTAGACATTTTTAGTAAATTAGTTTGTTCTAGTTTAATGCTCTCATCCTAATTGAGTTCCTTATTGTTTTGTAGCTTATAAAAACTGTTCTGATTGCAAAAATGACTGTAGTAAAGTAACTGCAGTGTAACTATATTAGCTCCTTAAATTAGTTGGTAGCATTGGAAGATAGCTTTAAAGAAGATTCCCTAACACTAATGCATTTTTGTTATTGTGCAGTTTAAATAAAACTTACTCAAAACGTTGTTTTAAATATGTACACATCATTACAGGAAAAAAGTCAGGTTTTAAACAAAGTTACCAACCTGTCACATCAACCTTTGGAAAATGGTCTTCTCCAAATACATCACCTGGAAATTATTTAAAAAAAATAATAAGTTGTGAGACACATGTAAATGTACAATCCAGAAACAATCATGCCATAACAATCACTCACCATAAGTGAAGGGGTTTGGATGGAAGAAGTCAAACTGTCTGTTTGTTGCTTGACTAGGTTGAATAATCTCAAAGTCTTCCTTCTCCATATCAGAAGAATCAGACTGTTTCAAGAGAGAAACCATAAGTGCCCATATCAGAAAAAAAAAAACATTTCTTGTTCAGTTTTACAACTGATTTAGTAAAAACTGATTTTTTTTCAAAGATTCGTTTAGAGTGCATTTTATAGTTACTCGCTGTTTTTTACACTTTGTTTTTCCTTAATCTGAGCATTGCTGAACAAAGTGGTTGTGAATAATGTCATCTCCGATTGGTCAATGACATGCAGCAGCCACACACAAGAAAAGTATCTATTTATATTTCAGTGTGCACCTCTAGCAGTCGAGAACGACAAAGCTGCGGGATACCAGTCAACAAGCTTTGCTGTGTAAAATCACTAGACACCCAGTTCTACGTCCTCCTGTTTGGACTGTTTCCTCACACATTTACAAAATGCATGGATGCACCTTTGTATGCGATGGTCGAGGGCCGATTGAAGATTGAAAGGACGTGGTAAATGACATCTGTAAATAGAAGCAATGTCAGATTCCTCCTCCCAGATATTCAGGCCAGCACGTCCTGATATGGAAGGACAACATGCCGGTGATGTCCTATTTAAACCATCAGGGGGGCATGCGGTCACCCCCATGGCGATTCTTTAACGAATTGTTCTTTTGAGCATGAGTAACCAGTTGACCCAGTTAATCAAATTGATCTGAATCGGATGTAAGATGCAATATCTGAAGCTTATAAGGCATGTAGATTACCTTCGGCTCTGGTTATTCGAGCCCACTCTGCTAGGAGTGTCGTGTCTTTATGGGTCTAGTTCTATGGCGACTGGTTGCTTTGTTTTATGACCTGGTTTGGCTCCTGCTAAGAAGGTTTTATCTGGAGTTTCTCATACAACTAGCCTGTTAGTGCACACTAAGGGTGCAGCTATTATAGTGGTGCTTTAGCTCCATCAGCCAATGATTTGGCAAGTTTCTGTAGGGCTTCAGGCTATGCTTCAGACTTTTGAGCAAGAGTAACCGCTGAACCAGTTCATGAAATCGAACTGTATCTAACTTTAAGACTTTAACAGAGCCAAACACGTACTGTATCTACAGTGGATGCTTCGATTTGCCGGCAGATAGAGAAAAAGAGATACAACTATTGGAAGGAGGTCTTGAGGCATTTAGTAGCTGTTGTCAAGTTTTTGTGAGAAAAGGGGCATTCTGAGGGCATGACGAAAAACTGGGAACTGAGACTCAGCCGAGACTGAACTCAGGCGTCGACCCAGCGGTACAGCGGAAGTGGCACGGAGACGTAACTCGGAGTGACTACTCAGGGAACGAGGGTTACATCCGTAACCGAGACGTTCCCTTTCGTAGTCACTCCGAGTTACGTCGGATGACGGAGAATGGGGGTCCCCGTGTAATCACGCCACCTTCACAGCTGTCTTCCAGTGCCCTGCGAAGTCTGACCTCCCTGTCGTGATATAGGCACGGACGAAGGAGTCCTACTTAACACAGTAATACCAAGGTACACTGGGAAGCATATCTCAGGGGAGATATGCCGCAGCATGCCTACCCGTAGGGAGGACTTAAGAATACACATATGGCCCGAGGGGGCTACATATGGAGGAACACTGGAGTGACCAGCCCGTAGGGTGGCATCTACTTTCAACTCCAGGAGTGGCAAGGTGGCTTGCCGAGGGAAAGACACATGCTCAAAGAGGCTTACAGTGGAAATACACATGTGGGGGTTGCTCGGAGGAGGAACCATGCACACGGAGGCACCTAGCCGACGCACAGGCAATAGACACTGGCGCCAGCGTCAACAGGGCTGGAGGAACTCAGGGCTTCAGAGAAGAAGGCTACCTGAGGAAATATCGCACGTATCCAGTCCGTGGAGTGGAGTGGCGAGCAAGCGAAGACACCTAACGGTTCCCGTGTTAGCTTGAAAAAGACAGTACACGGGAGGAGACTGGCTCCACTCGGAGATTGTAAAATCTGGTGAATGTGTTAGGTGTCGCCCAGCCTGCAGCTCTGCAGATGTCTGTCAGCGAGGCACCACGCGCTAAAGCCCAAGAGGACGCCACACTCCGGGTGGAGTGGGCGGTCACACCAAGGGGGCATGGCCGACCTTGCTGCTGGTATGCCAAAGCAATGGCGTCCACTATCCAGTGAGACAACCTTTGTTTGGAGAGAGCCTTTCCCTTCAGCTTCCCACCATAACAGACAAAGAGCTGGTCTGAGGTCCTGAAACACTGCGTCCTGGTACGTAAGCACGGAGTGCGCGTACTGGACAGAGCAGTGTCAAGGCTGGGTCTGCCTCCTCCCGGGGCAGCGCATGCAGGTTCACCACCTGGTCCCGGAAGGGAGTGGTGGGAACCTTGGGCACATATCCAGGCCGGGGTCTCAGGATCACGTGAGAGTGACCGGGCCCGAACTCCAGGCACGCTTCGTCAACGGAGAATGCGTGCAGGTCCCCTACCCTCTTGATGGAGGCCAACGCAACCAGGAGCGCTGTCTTCATTGACAGGATCTTAAGCTCAGCTGATTGCAGAGGCTCAAAGGGAGCCCTCTGCAGGGCATTTAAGACCACTGAGAGGTCCCAAGAGGGAACGAGAGGAGGGCGAGGAGGATTCAGTCTCCTCGCTCCTCTCAGGAACCTGATGATCAGGTCGTGTTTTCCAAGAGACTTACCTTCAACTGCTTCATGATATGCGGCGATAGCGGCCACATACACCTTCAGGGTGGAGGGAGACAGCCTTCGCTCCAACCCATCTTGCAGGAAGGAAAGCACAACACTGATCGAGCATCTCCTGGGGTCTTCTCGGCAAGAAGAGCACCAGTTAACGAAGAGGTTCCACTTCAACGCATAGACATGTCTCGTGGACGATGCTCTAGCGGAAGTGATGGTAGCCGCCACCGCTGGTGGCAGGGTACTCAAACCTGCCTCGTCCCGTCCAGGAGCCACACGTGGAGTCTCCAAAGATCGGGACTAGGGTGCCATAGGGTGCCCCGTCTCTGAGAAAGGAGGTCCTTCCTCAGAGGAATTGGCCAAGGAGGTGCTGTCGCGAGGAGTATCAGTTCGGAGAACCAGGTCTTGGTGGGCCAGTATGGGGCGACCAATATGACCTGCTCCTCGTCCTCCTTGATCTTGCACAGAGTACGTGCGAGAAGGTTCACTGGGGGAAACGCATACTTGCGTAGGCCCTGCGGCCAGCTGTGCGCCAGTGCATCCGTGCCGAGCGTGCCCTCGGTCAGGGAGTAATACAGGGCGCAATGGGATGAGTCGTGGGAGGCAAACAGATCTATCTGTGCGTCCCCGAACTGGTCCCATATCAGCTGGACCGACTGGGGATGGAGTCGCCATTCGCCAGAGGTTGGCCGGAGCCGTGACAGCTCGTTGGCTGCAAGGTTCCGCACTCCTGGAATGTAAATAGCATGAAGGGACCTCAGGTGCTTCTGACTCCATAAGAGGAGGTGGCGTGCGAGTTGCGACATACGGCGAGAGCGTAGACCACCCTGATGGTTGATGTACGCTACTGTCGCGGTATTGTCCGAACGGAAAAGTACGTGTTGACCCTGGAGCTGAGCGTGGAAGCGGTGCAGGGCAAGGCGTACTGCCAGCAACTCGAGGCAATTGACATGCATGAGGCGCTGGGGTCCTGTCCAGGAGCCCGCGGCTGCATGTCCATTGCACATGGCGCCCCAGCCCGTGGCAGAGGCATCTGTGGAGACGACAACATGCCTGGAAACTCGTTCTAGGGGAACTCCGGCCCGTAGAAAGCGGAGGTTCCGCCACAGGGTGAAGGTCTGACGGCAGGTCGGAGTTATTGGAACTCTGAGCGTACCGCGATGCCATGCCCACCTCGGGACCCGATCGCGAAGCCACAGCTGAAGCGGTCTCATATGAAGCAATCCGAGTGGCGTTACCGCGGCTGCAGATGCCATATGCCCCAGGAGCCTCTGAAAAAGTTTCAGTGGGACCGCACTCTTGCCCTCGAACTGTCGAAGACAAGTCAGCAGTGAGTGTGCGCGCTCGCTCGTAAGCTGCGCGGACATGGCGACCGAGTCTATCTCCATACCGAGAAAAGAGATCCTCTGCACGGGGCAAAGTTTGCTCTTCTCCCAGTTGACCCAAAGGCCCAGACGGGCTAGGTGCCGGAGCACAAGGTCTCTGTGTTCGCAAACCTGATCTCGAGAGTGAGCTAATATTAGCCAGTCGTCGAGATAATTCAGGATGCGAACCCCGTGTTCGCGTAGGGGAACAAGGGCTGCCTCGACGACCTTCGTAAAGACGCGAGGAGACAGAGCCAACCCGAATGGGAGAACCGCGTACTGGTATGCCTGCCCCTCGAAAGCAAACCGAAGAAACGGTCTGTGTCGAGGTAAAATGGAGACATGAAAGTAGGCGTCCTTCAGGTCTATCTGCAAACCAATCCTGTGGCCGCACGCATTCGAAAATGCGTTTGGTCGTGAGCATCCTGAACGGCAGCCTGAGAAGGGAGCGGTTCAAGACGCGCAGATCCAGGATTAGCCGTAACCCACCGGTCTTCTTGGGGACAATGAAGTACGGCTGTAAAACCCTGACCTCATTTCGGCTGGAGGGACAGTCTCGATTGCACCCTTCGCCAGTAGGGTGGCAACCTCCGCTCTCATGATAGGGGCATTGCCACCGACCAAAGTAAACGGACTCCCCTGAAGCGGGGAGGAGACCGTGCGAATTGGATCGCATAGCCGAGCCTGATAGTTCGGGCGAGGAAGCTCTAACCAAGCTCCCAAGAACTGAACCAGCGGAAATATCCGAACGACAGACGTCCCCCCGGAGGGGCAGCGAAGCGGAGTGACCGGCCCAGGCGTGGGTGGCATAGCGGCCCGGTGCGGGGGCACGGTCATGCTCCGCGTCCTGACAGAGGAGACCAGGGAAGGACCAGCGTTCCACGGGGGTCTGCTCTGCCAGGGGTCTGGCGACAGAGGGGGACGAGAGTGGTGTGGTCCGGAGACGGCACACACTGTCATCCGCGCCCTCAGAGACAGAGGGGGACGAGAGCGGCAAGGCCCGGGAGCGTCGCGCACTGTCGTCCGGCCCTCTGAGGGCTCAGAGATGGGATGCAGCTCTTTGGTTTAGAAAGATTCTCCCCCAGCCCTCCACCGGGGGAAGGAGTGGCCCTGCAACCACTCCCTGAAGAACTGCAACCCACATCTGAGCTGCACGTAACGGGAGTGCCGCAAGCCTGGCCTTGGCGGGGCTGCGGGACCGGTACGGGCAGGGGCGCCCTCCTGCGACCACCTCCACGGCGCGGCCCGGTGCTGCTGGGGGCCGGGCGGGAGGGGGCGGAAGTCGCAGGAGGGGGCGCATTCGGCAGCAAGCGGACGGAGGCGTCTGAGCCGGCAGCTGGAGGCAGCAAAGCCGCGGGGTCAGACAAAATAGCCACAGTCCACTTCTGGGCGGCCGAGAACTGTTGGGCAGAGTCCTCGACCGCGCCGCCGAAGAGGCCAGCCTGGGATATGGGGGAGTTGAGGAAACGAAATCACTCAGCCTCGCGCACATCAACCAGGTTAGCCAGAGGTGTCTGACCACCTACGTGGACATCACCTGACTCAGGGAGCGTGCGGTCACCTACGTCGCTCGGAGAGCAAGGCCGGTGACGGCAGGCAGCTCAAGGATGAGCCCTGAATCAGCCCTACCCTCGTGCATGTCATTGAACACCCAGGAGGATGGCAATAGCACGCAGTGAGGTGGCAGCCTGCCCCGCAGCTCTATAGGTCCCCGCCACCGGAGTAGACACGAACCTACAGGCATTGGAGGAGAGTTCCAAACCTGCCGTCTTAGGTCACCCTGGCCACCAGCCAAAGTATTATCTCACGTGGAGAAAAAGAGATCGGGGTGTGGATGAGGGGACTCTCACTCATTGAGCTCATCGAGTCTCGACCGTTACATTGCGATGGTCACGTTCCCAGTGAGAGAACGTGACACACCCACGAGCGCTGTCTGAGCGCGATCAAAGCCCAAACACTCAAAACAGCGCTCGCGCCCATCAGCTGAATCTATCAGAATACCACACTCAGAAAAACACGGGCAGATCGTCTTTAGAAAGACGCGTCTTTAAAAAGACGTGCCGCGTGCAGCTCTTTAGTGAGAGGAAAAACTCCGCGGATGTTGAAGCGACCAGGGAGAACACACAGACTGGCAGACCACTGCTCAGCTCGCAGGCAATGTGAAACTCGCTGGATACCGCCGTCACACCAACACCGGAGAGTTCGCTCGTCTCGAAGAGATGTAGTCACTGAGAAAACTCAGGATTTGGCTTGTGGAGTGAAGAGATGCTCTTGGCTCCGAAGCGAAAACATGATCTGCTGTTGCAGGTGTCTCTCCTTAAATACCCACGCGGTGGGGCGGAGATACATTATGCAAATTCCGCAGACCCATGGCATTTCATTGCCATAGGCTCGTTTTTTAATACTCGAAGGTGATAGGCTTTCTGGCGAAACCCCCATTCTCCGTCATCCGACGTAACTCGGAGTGACTACGAAAGGGAACTAAGAACATCATAGCAGCTGAAATCCAACAGGCCAAATATTTCTCTGTAATTGTAGATTCAACACCAGATCTTTCTCATGTAGACCAATTGACATTTATTTTTAGATTTGATAGTGCTGAGGGCAAAGTAGTTGAAGGATTTCTTGTATTTGAGGTGAAAACCTCCTGAGTGTGTACTAAAAATGGTGCGAGACTTGGGATTGGACTTGTCAAATTGCCGTGGAAAAGCTATGATAATGCGAGCAATATGTCCGGTAAATATAACGCACCTAATTCAAGCGCACCTGAAAATGCAAAACCATTTAATTCACTACATGCCCTGTGCTGGTCATTCTTTGAATCTTGTTGGTGTCAACAGCATAGATGATTGCTGTGAGGAGTTCACATCCTTTTTCGATTTTTTACAATCCCTTTATACCTTTTGCAGTGCATCCACTCATCGCTGGAATCGGATATTCATGACAGTGACATTCACATTAGTTTGACTTTTAAATCTGTGTGCCACAAGATGGAGCTGTAGGGCCGACTCCACAAAAGCTCTCTATGAAAACTACAATACAATTAGAGAAACACTGCTGCACTCATTGGAAAGCTGAATAAACTGGAAACAGCGATTATGACTACATTGTGGCACAGGGTGCTAAGCAGATTTAAGGCAACAAGCGTTCATCTGCAAAAAAAGTGACACGGGGGGTTGGGGGGTAATATGGATGAAACTACATATGTTGTTAAAATATTTGATATTTGATATACAAAATTAAATAATAGCAGAGTTCACACCACAGCTATAACGATAACGGCACAGAGAAACAATATCATTGGAATCACTTTCAGAACGATTTTATCCAGCTGATGAACAATAAAAACACTGACAGCCAATCAGAATCCATCCTGCTTTAAAGAGCATTTAAAGTGACAGACAAGCGTGCGCTTAGAATAAATAGAACAATAACGTCCTCTGGTGTGGACGCTAATAGTTATCTTCATAGTTATCGTTCTTGGTGTGAACGGGCCTTAAAGATGACTGTGCCTTTGAGGTTGTTGCTCCCAAATTGTGGAATGCTCTCCTTATAGACTTAAGATCTGTGGACACTTTTAAAAATTACTTTTGTCAAAATAGTTTTGTATTACTCAGTTTTTTTATCTGATTGTTTGTTTTCTTTTTTATATTTGGATGTACAGCACTTTGTGACGTTTGCTCTAGAAATGTGCTCTAGAAATACTTACATTGTATGAATGCGAACTGCAGTTTGAAAACAATTAAACAAGCAATGCACTTTTAACCCTCTGGGGACCAGAAACGCGCCGGCGCGTTTTGCTCGTTTTTTTTCACATAGCAGAAAAATAGACTTAAAGTACTACCATCATTTCTGTTCATATAGAGTTAAGAAATATGAGAAAATAATCTGTTAAATGTCTACTTTTTTATGTGCCCACATACAATCGAAATAAAATATTGTGCTTTTGTAAAATAAAGAAAATAAACAGGGTGTGCGTTCTGCCTCTCGGTCACCGTGAACTTTTTTTCTGGAGCACGTCTCTAATCTTCAACACAACTCAGCTAATACTATTCACCCAGCCATAAGCAATATATCTTTTAAATCATTTGAGTTTGTACTTTTAAATGATCCGATTCAAAACTAAAATTATTATTCTCCGTTTATGTCATCTATATAAAAAGAGAGACGTGTCAGCCCATCTCATTATCGTTCTCTCAGCTGATTATCTGTGGTAATGTGACACGCCCACGGAGAGCACGCGCTATTCAAACGCAAATATGTGAAGCAACACATTGAGACGCGTTAACGCCCATAAACTCTGAAAACACACATTATTTTTTAGTCAGATTAATCTACTGTCGTCTTGCGCGGCTATATGTGGAACAATCCTGGGACATTTACCACTGGGTTATTTTCACTTCGAGGATGAACAGATTCAGCTGAGAAGTAAGTGTTTTTTGCAAGTGCTTTGTTCTAATCGCGATATAGAATAACGTAGTGTCTGTAAACGGAAAAATAGCATACTGTTAAATGTGAATCATGTTTGTGTCACACAGTTTGTGTGTGTGTGTGTGAATGAATGAATGAACGCACAGATACGCACTGTTACAGACTAAATAACAGACAACATTTCGTTGACTCGTTTTGGATAAAGTTTTTACTCTAAAATAGACATCAAATAAGCTTTTTTAGGAGTTTCTGCTCATATGTTAAATATATAGTATGTTTTGTCAATAAACTAATCAACTAAGATGTTATAGTGTTTGTTCAAGCTATATCAAAATAATGAATCCTCAACTTTGAAATATGTATGATCAAACTAAGACATTTATGGAGAAAGACAATTTTCTTTTCAAGATGTTTCCAACTCTAACTTTGAACTGAAATAAAACCATGTCTATATGGTGAAGGGTGTGTGATAGAAGTGTCCAGACGTATGCACCCTGTATTTTCCTTATAATATCCAAACAATCTAAAAGCCATTCTTTTTTAAATCTCCTCATTCTTTGTGCAAGGCTCCTGTAATGATATGGCCTGATAGCACCTAATAGGGCCATTATGGGAGGGTCTTTGTCTTTCTCAGGTGTGGAATGCCATACATATTAATGAGAGATCAAGCCTCCTGCATAAAGCTTTCTCAAACAAAACACGTCATTAAAAATGTAAAAGACTTTATTGACTTATCTGAATGAGTAGTCAGGATGATTCTCACATAGTTTTGGAGCAAATATTCTAGGCTATGTGATACAATTTTCAAAAGTCTTGTGAAGAAATAATCAATATGTGTTTTGTGGTCTTATTTCAGCAACTTTCATTTTTATTTTTTTCAATAACCACGCATAAACATTATTCTATTAAAAATACAAACATGTACATACATGTTGCTCAGATCTCATGGTAGCCAAGTTTGTGCTATATAGAGTGAATTTACACCTTTGCCATTAACATGTTTATAAATAACTGAAAAAAGCACAAATGTCAGTGCATGTCAAAACATCCCAAGGGCCCCAAAAACACTCTGGTCCCCAGAGGGTTAAGGCAATCAACAGATCTGAATATGAATTAAATGGCAAAAGTAAAACTGACTGAACAAATGTCACAACAATGCAAAACAGCAGGTACAAGCTCAGTGTATGTGTGTCCTACCTGTGGAGTGGTTGACCTGAACATAACATCCTCCTCTTTGACCTCCGTCAGTGTGATCTCAGTAAAAGACGACGAGCCACTGCTCTTCTGTAATCGATAACAGATCATGAGTTCAAACTTATAAACAACTAGGACCACATTGAATGCCAATGGACATACCAAGTTCTCCGCTGAATACTGCATTTTATCAAGCTCCTCTGGGGTGCTCTCCTGCTCAACATAATCTACTTCCTCTCTCTCCTGTTTGGACACGATCTTCTCACAGTAGACATGATCACACTCGCTTTCTACAACATCCACTTTTCCAACCAACTCCTGGTCCAAACCCACACAATCAGCATCTTCTGTCATCTCAGTCATTGCACTTTCACCTGTTATGAGGCCAGCAACCAGCTCACCCAGCTTCTTTTTAACCTAATCAACAAAAAAATAAAAATTTAATCACATTAAATGTACACATTGTAAACAATTAAGAGATTGCACTTTGAGAATCATGAGCAATATCAATGATGGGTCAATCCATCTCAAATGGTCCAATAAATGTGGCTTGACCATTTTAAATTGTTCTAATTTTTGTTTGAGTGATTGCCTCTATATATTGGTATAGCAAAACCAACATTTTTATATACCGTACATATATTTGCTGTGTTCCTGTTTATTTTGAGTCCTTAGATGTAGAAAAGAGATGTAGCAAAGCTAGACTCTAAATTTATAAAACTGTATACCAAAGCATAATTTCACTTAGTTAATTAATTATGTGAAGTGTCTATTTGAACTGGTACCAAAACTATGCAAAAGACTAAGACCATGGTGACTGAACTAGGACCTCTACGATCTCCTCGAACACGTCCTGCAGCGGAGAGATCTGTTCATGCAGGCTTTCTGCGTGTGCTTTGGCATACGCCACTTCCCGCTGGATCTGGAGCAGGTCTTCAGCCGCAGCACACAGCTCGGTGTCGTACTGCTGTACTGTCTGCTCCAAGTCCTGCTGCTCCTCCTGCAGGCACTGCAACTGCACACACACACACAGGGAAACACACAAACAGATGGCAGCGACTTAAGGCCGTGTGTCCACCAAAGCGTTTTTAGCCAGCTGAAAACGCTAGACGCTCTGCTGAAGACGCCGAGCTGTGGGCGCTTGAGAGCGTTTTGGAAACACAGCGTTTTTTCCGTTGAGACGTTTCGTTGCTATGATACAGAATATCCGCAGCACAGTTTACTTGTAACTGATTTCGCAGATAATTTTTTTCATACTAAAAATTAATTTTTCATCCATTTTGTTCGGTTAGCTCTGCTGGTTGATGTCGTTGTTGTACAGAAAGAATGTTGTGACAGTTGGTCGGTGTGGTATTAGTCCCGCCCCTCCTCCACTGTGATTGGACGGCTGGGTAAAAATTGACAGTGATGAGCGCTGCGTTTTATCCAAAGTTGAACATTTTTCAACTCTCGGCGACCAGTAAAAAACGCCGGGCGCTCGGCGCTTCAGCGTGAAAAAAAACGCTCAGCGCCTCGTTATGCTCATGGCGTTTAAAAAACGGGGCGCTCCCATTGAAAACAATTGAAAACATACGCCAGGCGCGTGGAAAAACGCTTTGGTGGACACACGGCCTAAGACTATATTTTAGTGACGTATTATTTGTACCCCAAACCTGGTGTAAATTGTGGTCAACTGTATTTGTATCCCAAATTCTAATACTAACATACAGTATATGGCCGTCACTGCAATATGTATATTGTGTTTTTCTGTGTAAACTGTATTTGCGCATACAAAAGAAACTCCACACCAAACCCCTACTCTAACCTACAAAAATGAACAATACATAGTATTTGTAGTAAAACCATAGCAATCACAATTATGGTTACTAAATGGATACTGCAGTATTTCTAGTAAGTTACCATTGTTTTAAAACCATGAGTAATGCCTTTTCAGTAAAGCCAGAGGTGACTTGGGAGTGGGCGTATGACTATATGAATTAACTTCAATAAATTCAAATTCCTTAATATTGCTCAGTGCCTTCCTTTATTCTCCAAAAATATTCAAAGACACACCACCACTGTCCTATTGTCATCACTTCTTCAAACAAGGTCCAGCATGTACACACAAAACATGAATACAACCCGGTGTTCAAAATCACCTTCTCTGTACTGCCACCCAAAGGTAATTGTTACCTTTCAAATCTTCCCAGTTACTAACCCGAACCAACTTGCTACTTATCCCCATGCCTATATTGCCTCCCAATGGTCAATAACAACACTGTAACAATAACAACGGCAATGGACATGCAGGTCCACAAATCAGACCCTTGCTGTCAGGACATGGGGTAAAGCTCCTCGTCCAAGCTCTTGTCATTTCAAGACTGGACAACTGCGATGTTCTGCTGGGAGGCCTTCCAGTCAGCACGACTACACCTCTGCAGGTGATCCAGAACGTGGCAGTATGTCTGGTCTTCAATCAGCCGAAGAGAACCCATGTCACACCCATCCTGACTTCACCCCACTGGCTCTCAGTTGTGGCCAGAATCAAATTTAAGGCTTTCAGAACTACCACTGGAACAACACCTCCTTACCTCACTTCACTCCGCCAATATATGCTCCCTCCCACCAGCTATGGTCAGTGAATGAGCAACGCCTTGTTGTTCATTCACAATTAGGGTTGAGAAACGAAAATTGATTCCAATTCTGGAATTGGATACTTAAGTTCAGGAATCGGATACTTGATTTTGATTTCGCTTATCGATTTCCTGTGTGTGCATTTTAATGTGGTTTTAAACCATTCAAGAGCAATAAGACATGAAAGAAAACTCAATTCGCACAAATTATGTCAAAATATCCTCAAAATTTACACAGTCGGTTTTGTCTTAAATGAACGTAAACAGTTGAGAAAGAAAACGGATGTGTAACAGTATATTGGATCCGTGCGTTAGGTCTTAAAGTGACAGCAGCCTAATAAACCTGCTGCCGTCTATGTCATTAATGTTAATCAAAGAACAAAAGAAAATCTCTCAATGATCTTGACTGCATAACTTTAATAAGGATTCATTTATATTTTATATAAAAAAGAAAACTATGTAGTGTTATTTTACATTTGATTAAAATTTTTGAACTTTGTTAAGATGTACTTTTTTTTTTGCTATTGCTAATTAGCTTATTTCGAAACTGGGAATCAATGAGAATTGGAATCAATAAGCAGAATAGTAAAACAGTAAAACAAAGAAAGAAAAAAAGTGCGTTTTAGGACGTTTTCACACCCATAGATAGTTTGTTTTGTTCCGAAACAGGGACTTAATTAGTTACGATGTTTTCAAGAAGCAGCTGAAGACACAGCATTTCTCCTCTTCTCTAGCTTGCTTCCTAATTGTCAAATAAACCTTGCATTGTATATTACAAATATTTTTGGCTCTCTAATGAATTGCTTTTGTCCCTCTTTTGTAAGTCGCTTTGGATAAAAGCACTAAAATATGCATTAAATAACTAACTTTACCTGTGAGCACACTGTGCTGTAATGACATTAGAGACCCGCCAGATGTCCCCAGTAAAAAAGTGTATCAGTTGTGTAATGGGTCAATCTCTAATCATATAGCTTCAGAAAACTGGAGTATCTGCATTAAGCGAAACATTAACAAAAACATCGCCAAGTCGGCCTTTCTTTTTAAGTACTCCCATCTTATTCATCCAAGCTCTTACAATTTCAAGATTGGTCTACTGCAGTGCTCTCTTGGCCGGCCTTCCAGCCAGCACGACTCCGCCAATGGTTCAGAACGCAGTAATGTTTCTGTCTTTAATCAACCAAGAAGAGCTGACATCACACCCCTCCTGGCCTGCGTTTACACGGCAAGTCTTAATGGACAGATCTGATCTTATAATTGGATCATATCCAAGGTTTTGTCCTGCCAGTTTACACTCACGTTAGACACGACTGCTATCCGATATCTGTGTTTACATTAATCCACGCCCAAAATGATTCTGTTGTTGATCGCTTTATTATGCGACATGGTTGACCCTCGAGTTTTGAATGGCTTTACTAAAATTATTTTATTATTCAATCATGGCCAATCGGGTGGATTGTTCAAATCTGTCATGGATGTTTGCAGTGCAAAATCTTACTGAACAGATATAGACCGGAAAATAGTGGTAATGTTTATTTGTTGGTTTAGAAGCACAGTAATTTTTTTGGAATGAATTTGAAGGAATTAACGAGTTTGAATTACCTGCGTGTGTCAGTATGTAATAGTGAAGCTGTTCACTAAAACAGCTGATTTTTTTTTTTTTTTTACAAAAAAATGGCTGAGAAATAGCCTAAAATGAAGCTTTCAGTAGCGAACCTTTTTTTTTTTAAACCAGGGACTCTGTTTTTTCTTTTTATATATGCAATATTGCATGTTCAGATATTCATACATAATAATAATTTCGGTGGGCCTTGGAAATTTGGTGAAAATTATCAAAATTGCTGGCGGTGGCTGGCAACTTTAAAAAAAAACGCTGGCGGGGAAAGAGTTAACTATAAAGTTTTCACTTCAGAAAAAAGGGGGGGGGGGGGGGGCACATACAGGCACATCTGCTTCATGATATGACATTAAAAAGCGATCTTTGTGGGAACCGTGTCGCTGTCGACTTGCGGTGGCTTGGAATCCGAGGGGAATCGGATATACACGTTTAGACGCAGGTCAGATGTCCAGATATCGGATGTGTATCTGATTTAAAACAACATTTGGAAGTGGTTCAATGTGTAATTTTTTTTATTTTTTTTGTACCAGTGTAAACGCAGCCTTGGTTTCACTGCACTGGCCTGTAATCCAGGGATGTTTAACACTGTTAATAATAATAATAATAATTTGTTACATTTGTATAGCTCTTTTCTGGGCACTCAGCGCTTAACATAGAAGGGGGAATCTCCTCAACCACCACCAATGTGCAACATCACCTGGATGATGCGACGGCAGCCATAGTGCGCCAGAACGCCCACCACACACCAGCTTACTGGTGGAGAGGAGACAATGATGAAGCCAATCAGTATATGGGGATGATTAGGAGGCCATGATGGACAGAGGCCACTGGGCAGATTTGGCCAGGATGCCGGGGTTACACCCCTACTCTTTGGAAGGACATCCTTGGATTTTTTATGACCACAGAGAGTCAGGACCTCGGTTTAACGTCTCATCCGAAGGACAGTGCTCTTTGACAGTATAGTGTCCCCGTCACTATACTGGGGCGTTAGGACCCACACAGACCACAGGGTGAGCGCCTCCTGCTGGCCTCACTAACACCTCTTCCAGCAGCAACCTGGTTTTCCCAGGAGTTTCCCATCGAGGTACTGACCAGGCTCAGCCCTGCTTAGCTTCAGTGGGCAACCAGTCTGTTCTGCAGAGTTCAGCTCCAACCCTAATGAAACACAGCTAATCCAGGTCTTTAGGTGTTGTTCAAACTTGTTGGAGTTGGCTGGAGCTAAACTCTGCAGGACAGTGGCTTTCCAGGAGCGGAGTTAGACACGTGTGCTGTAGACTGACAATGAAAATGATTTGAGGGGTGAGTAGAATGACTTTCTGTGGTCAGAAATCATTTAAACATTTGCTTACCACTTCCCTCTCCTGTTTCTGGAGGTCATAGATCACCTTCAGCTCTTCCTTCAGCTGTGTCTTCCTCTCTTCCAGCTTCTCCATGCTCTCCTGTGTGTTACGGCACAAGGCCTTGACCGTCTGAAGAGTCTCCTCTTCCATATGCACCTCATCCTTCAGACCCTGAGGATATATCACGAGTTAACCTGATCTAAATCACTAAACTCATATCATTGATAACAGTCGTACTGTATGCCATCTTCTATCACATAAGTCCTATGACTTTTTGTGCAGATTATGAGAGAAAGTTTTTCCAACTTCCTACAACTTGTCAAAAAACTTGGGTGTACCCAAAGTCTACTCTAGCGCAAAACAAGTTACTCTTTATTTTAAGGTGTCCGTGTTACAGTGTAATTATGACGTATTAATAATTAACAACATGTAGTTCCTATAGGATTAGGTTAAGGATTATGGTTTGGTTTAGGGTAAATTGCATGTAATTATGAATAATTTGTAGTTATTACTGTGCATATAACATGTGTAACAAGGACACTATAAAAAAAAGTGTTACCACAAGTTGATATGTTCTCTCCCCAAAAGTGCTGTGAAAACCGGTCTGAATTTGACACAGAATTCTATTACAAACAGAGTGTTTTTAAACAATTCTCAAATAACTGACAAACACACATTCTCTGAGAGAGAAATGTAGGTCCATGATTTAAACTTTTTAATGCATAATGTAGCTCTCAGGTTACTAGGAGTGTAACAGTACACAAAAATATTGGTTCGGCACATACCTTGAGTTTGAAGTCATATATTGATTTGAAGTCATATATATGTGCGTGTGTGTGTGTGTGTGTTTTTGTTAAAATATTGAATTTAGTGTTAGTAATTCCATATTAAATTATCATGGGATTGGTGTCCGGCATATATAAAAAGCTTCCAGAACCTAATTTTGTTTAATTACTTTTTACTGTATTTTAAAAATGTATTTATAACCTATTTTAATGACAGTGGTGGCAATAAAACACTTATTTTATTACGTGTGTACGTTTTGAATGAATTATTATTTTATTCATCAAAATAAAACAACTGTTGCTGATATGTTTTGAACAAACATAAACCCAATTTCTCAAAATATATTATTTTAGGTAACGTATTTAAATCACTATCAGTGGCTTTTTACTTCAACTGGTATCAATGTGCCATATCATATCACATGGCTCATCTTTCTTAAGGGGTGTCTTTAGCCCGTTACAACATTCATTTATGATCTCATGGTATCACACATGTTGCTGATCTCCAACACTAACACACGAATGAAGAAGAATGGCATGGAACTTTTATTTTGAGAATATTGGGATATCCCGGTTAAAAATGTAGAATCATCATCACATTGTTTTTCCATGCAAAACAAATAGCAACGAATGGCTCTCCACCAAGAGTAGCCTAAATATGCGCTGATAGATGCGCGTTTCAGACGCAGAGAAGCACTAAGTGTCAGTGAATTATAGCTAGTGCTCATCAGTGCAGTCTACCTACAGTGTCTGTCTAGAGCAGAAAATAACACAGTACCTTGATTTCGTTATCGTCTGGAGAGTCTATACCCTGAGCCTGAAGCTCCGTGTCCCTGAAACAATAAATCACGTAATAAATCAAACTGAAAAGCCAATACTTCCGCAGTATGATTTCCACGGCTCCGATTTAAGCGCATAGATATAAACACAAGATCACTGCAGACATACGTTCAAGATTATGCAATCCATACGTATGATGTCAGGGTGATGAATCACAGTGCATGCACACATTATGGCATTATTATTTCAGTACGTAATTAACCTCGACGTGCAAGGTGATGTATTTTCAAGGATGTCGGTTAAATCGCATTTTAAGACTAAGACTGCGTGCAGCTGCTTACATGCATAACGATAAGGATCATGCGCTCGCGTACCTGGCAGCGGCTGCAGCGCGCGCTCGTGCCGGCCGCAGGCAGTCTAGGATAAAGCGCATCATATTCATACGCGACACATCATCTGCAGCACACACGTCACACGAGCGGGTTAATGCATAGCTTTGGAAATATTGTTTCGACTCTCTATGAAGTGCATGCTGTCAAATAAAGACGGGTGAATGAGACGTTCTCCTTGAATCGCTGTCCGCTCTCCTTCAGCTGCGGTGGGGATCACGTGACCGCGGGCTCTGCACGAGACCGACGATCCGAGCCAGAACCGACCGGCCCCATATGGCACGTGTCCACTGGCGTAGAAGAACCCCACTGAACACACACACACACACACACACACACACACACACCACTATAGTGTGCTGCCGCTGTGGGGGCGTGTCTGTAATACACACAGCAAGTGTTCACTACACCATCAAAAAGATGTAGTTAGCCTGTAGAAAATCTTTAAAGTTAAAATTAAAGTCTGAGATCTCTAGAGTTACAGTCTCAGACACTTATGGGCAGAAAATGAAATGTACAAGTACAAATCTGTGCTTGGACACCAAAATAGAATTTATCTTGCAAAGTGCTTTTAATTATGGTTGTAGTTTAAAGGTAGGGTAGGCAATTGTTTTATAAACACTTTTTGGTAGGTTGGAACTCTGATGGCAATCCTGATGGCAATCAACAATAGAAGTGGTCTAAATATTAAAGGTGCAGTAGGTAAATCTTAGCGGCATCTAGTGGTGAGGTTGCGAATTGCAACCAACAGAAGTTACGGTGTCCGACAGGAAAAGATCGTCGTCGTCTGAGTGAGCAGAGAGTAGCCAGTTAAGCAATGAGGTTTCTTTACAAAGAAAAAGTAAGAAATGATATACTTAATAATTCAGTAAAACGATATTATTGCAAATATAATGGTTACTTGTTATCATTGTGTCAGTGTTTTATTCGCTGACTTTAGCTAGCTTCTTTGCATGAAGAACAACACAGTGACGAAATTTGCTCTGTAGAGCAGTTTGTTCGTTTAGGGCTCCTGTAGAAACATGGCGGCGCAAAATGGCTTTTTCAATGTAAGGAGACCCACGATGTATGTAGATAGAAATGGCTCATTCTAAGCTAATAAAAACATAACGGTTCATTACGTAAGGTCTTAATACACCACTGAAAAAAATTATGTATACTATATTGCATTTCTGTCAACAGGTCCTCCTAAATATTACACACTGCACCTTTAAATAACTTGTTAAACACCTTTAAAATGCTCGTCCAATCATTGCATTCGGTCCGAATGCAATTGACTTGTTCGGTGTCTAGTCATAGCTTGGGGGAAAACAATCCTTGATTGGAAAAGCATGGTGTTAACCCAGTATGGCCTACGTAGAATCAATTATGCCGCTCAACAGAGCAAGATACATAGAAACACAAACACTGATCCGTATTGGGTCGGATTGTCCGTACAGTATCTGTAACTGGACAAACGACCCGACGGAAAAGCCAGATGTCTCGTTTCCCCACTTTTTTGTTTCCTGATTGAGTCTCCAGGGAAGAGACAGCTAATCGTAGATTATTCAATCTGACTGTATTATCAGTATCACAGGGTCATCTAACACAGCCTATATTGTGTAGGCTTAAAGGCATGTTCATTAAAGGCACAATATGTACGATTTTTTTTCAAAATATACAAAAACCACTAGAAAATTTTTATATATTTAGATGATTTGTTTGGTTACATTATCCCAAATTTTTCTAAGACCTTTTAAATCCAGTAAAATAAGCATTTTTAACCAGGACACGCCTATCAGTGACATCATACCCGCGTAACCCTTGATGTGTTTTATTAGATAGGCGAGCAACTGTTTGGATACATTAATCTAATCATTAGACAGAAGACTAATCATTGTTATACAGCTCAACACAATTAGTCTTTTTGTTTAAATCTCATTTTCTTGATTTACCGCTAATACCATCTTTTAATATGCCTAATATTGGTCTAGCTCACTGCAGTGTGAAACACTGTGTCTCACCAAGTAGCCGCCGAGCGAACGCACAGAGTAGCAATAAAACAACTTTCAACACACTCAAATGTATCTAAACTGTTACCCCTCTATCATGACCGGAAGAAGCCAAAGAGGTCGTCTGTGGCATAATAAAAGCTCCACTGCTCTTGAGCCGAAATCACAGCGTCATCAAGATACGCCTTTGTTTTGAATAAGCGACCTCTAGCGGCTAAAAATCACATAGTGTGCCTTTAAAGCTATGATATAAAAGACTAGTATGTCTTTAATGAATACATTTCATGCACAGTTTCCACTAGCAGCGACGTTACTATTAGCCTATATTAGTGAAGTGCTATATCACACAGGAATCTACTCGCAGAGCAACATGAAGGATTACAGGTCCCTGGAGGCTCACAGTTTTTCAGCAGTGGCTTTGTTGGACTGGTTTAACATCACAAAATATCAGGGAGCGACATTTATTTCTTCAGACCTGGGTTGCGGTGCAGGGGGACGGGACTGTTATGACAGGTCATTGCAACTGCATGGCAGGGTAAGTTGTGTAGTCTATCTGGAGTGCATATGAATATTAACCTTGATATGTTTCATACATTGTATTTCCATAACTATTATTTATGTCTTTCTTCCAGAAAACGGGCATTTGCTGATTTCATCACATGGACTCCTCAGGCATCAGTAATATAGTCTGTTCAATACAAGGTTTTGGTCATTCAACATTTTCCCTAAACTTCAGGATCTGAAACATGCACAGGTAGGTGGTTTTATTTTGTATCAGATTATAAATCATTATGACTACACTGTAAAAAAAGTAAGTTGTATCAACTAATTAGTAACTAGTTCCACAGATTTTTTACGTTCACTCAATTTCTCTCTTCAAAGTGGTGATTCAATTGTTATTTTTTAGTTGGCCCAAACTTGACTCCAACTTTAAAAAGTATGTTTGCTGAACTAGTTTTATAGTTTTATAAAAACTGTTTATATTGGTGTTCTATTGAGTTGAGGTCAGGACTCTGTGCAGGCCAGTCAAGTTCCAGCATGCGCTGACTCGCGCTGTGATTTTACGTGGCCTAACACTTTGTGGCTGAGTTGCTGTTGTTCCAGATTGCTTCCACTTTGTTATAATACCACTAACAGTTGACCGTGGAATATTTAGTAGTGAGAAAATTCACAAATGGACTTATATGTAGGTGGCAACCTAGAAGTGTCTGCATGCCTAGGTGATTGATTTTATACAACTGTGGCTGTAAAAAATGTGCAGGAATTTTAGGCTGATTTAGCTGTTGCTACTGGAACGTTGGGTCCATTAAAACTTATTCAGTCATCAGTTACTTTTCCCATTTTATTTGACTTGACATATAGGAGTAGACATATCTCAGATGGTAGTGATGGTAATGGGCTCTATACACGGCGGTATTTCCGGTGAAGGTCTAAGGATGCTGGATTACTTCCGCCGATCGTAGAGTCCAATGCTATACCGAGAATTTATATTGGTTTTTATACTCTATTGCTATACTAAAGAAACGTTAGTCACAAAAACAGACAAAACAGACACTCCTCATTTTGTTTCTGCTACTGTGTTTATTATATTAAATAAACATAACTATATATAAAATTACATCTAAACGTATTAAAGTTTCGTTTCAAAGACGAGAAGACAGTACATTTTGAAGACTCTGCCATAATCCCGTTTTCCTTGGTTTTCCTCCGCTTTAAATCTCCCCAACCGGAAACGCACGAGCATCCTTGCATCAAACGCGGAAGTTATGCGTGCATATAGCCTATTGTTGGTTTCTAAAACCCATAAACAAAATAGAAACAATTAATAGAATAGAAACACATTTGCCAATCTTAAATCATACATCTGAAATCAGCTTTAACAATCAAATGAATGTTACATCAAAGAGAAACTAAATATAACTAGAATTCAATATTTCATATCAAACACATTATCCTTTAAACTAAACAGGAACTAACAAGGTCAACAACGCAACAGTTACACACCATGGGCCCTATTTTAACGATCTGAAACGCAAGTGTCAAAGCGCAAGTAACTTTGTGGGCGGGTCTTGGGCGCTGTTGCTATTTTCCCGGCGGGATAAATGCCTCTTGCGCCTGGCGCAAATCTAAAAGGGGTTGGTCTGAAGTAGCTTCATTATTCATAGGTGTGGTTTGGGCGTAACGTGAAATAAACCAATCAGAGCGTCATCTCACATTCCCTTTAAGAGCAGGCGCGCTTGTTCTAAAGCGGATTCCTATTATAACGGCGGATTTACCAGGCGCGCGCCAGGAGCGGTTCACAGCCGAGGAGACCGACGTTCTTGTCAGTGCCGTGAAAGACAGAGAAGTGACGTTGTATGGGGATGGGAGAAACCCACCCAAATCAGCGTCGGTTAAACAGGCGTGGGAGGAAAAAAACTAATTTTTTTACATCTTCATGGACACCACAATGATTTCCCTCATGTGTTAATATTTTTCCTTGTTATAATGTATGATTTGCATAAATAAAAACTGCTGCATCTGTGTTGATGAGAGAATCAAAGTGTATGCGCGTTCACGCGTTGTGCACCCGCTACATTATGGTCAAGCATGCGCGCTTAAAATAGCATAATGAACAACGCGCAACGCGCCACTGACTTTAGACTAGGCTTTTTTCTGGTCAGTGGCGCAATTGTTTTATAGAACAGCAAAATAGCATGAGGGAAAGTTTGCGCTGGAACACGCCTCCTCTTTGCGCTGAACCGCCCCGGGGAGCGCAAGTGTATTTCTTAGTTTACCGACATGCGTCTGTGGAAGGAAAAATCCGCTTTGTGCGGGTGCAAAATAGGAATGATACATGCGTCAGTGTACAATGTCATTTGCGCCGGGTGCAAGATAGGGCACCATGTCTGAATGGAGAGACAGCTTCTCACATACAAACAAGTTGAGACTGAAGCATAATTAGTAAGAGGCCACAGGTGATCTTATCAGGACTCAGACAACCAATCAGATCAAAGATCACAGTCCATTCGTGAAATTTCCTCACTACTAAGGCCTTGTGCACACGGACACGGGTATTTTTATAACCGGAGTTTTTCCTACAGCGTTTTAAAAAAGAATCCCGTCCACACATGCTCGGTCTCCGTCTACATGAAAACGCAAAAACACGCTATCAAGCGCGGTCAAGAGCATGCCACGCCAGCAGGCGGCGATATAACCCTTAACCCTAAAGCTACGTTGGCCAATCAGAAGCGCAAATCTGACGTCAAACACAGCGGATAACGGCGCACACTCTGACGTCGCAAGGCAAAAACCCCGGTTTCACTGTCTACACGACAACACTGTAACCGGCGTTTC